AGCGAACTGAAATGGACTGGAATGGGCCACTTCACATCAGATGACCACCAGATCTACTACTGCGGACAAGAGGAACATCGAAGAAATGGAGTAGCCTTCATAATTAATAAGAAATTCGCTAAAGCGGCTTGGATACAACCCAAAAAATGACAGAATGATCTCAATTCGAGTGCAAGGAAAGCCTTTCAACATCACAGTGATCCAAATATACACCCCCCAACCACAGCTGCTGAAGAAGCAGAAGTAGATCAGTTCTATGAGGATCTGCAGGACCTACTGGATAATACACCAAAAAGAGACATTATTTTCATTACAGGAGACTGGAATGCTTAGTTGGATAGTCAAATGACAACTGGGATCACTGGTAAGCATGGTCTGGGATAACAAAATGAAGTGGGATGTAAGCTGATAGAATTTTGCCAGGAAACCTCACTGTGTATAACGAATACTCTCTTCCAACAACCTAAAAGATGGCTTTACACATGGACCTCACCAGACGGTCAACACCGAAATCAGATGGACTACATCCTTTGCAGCCAAAGGTGGCGGACATCCATCCAGTCGGTGAAAACAAGACCTGGGGCTGACTGTAGCTCAGATCACGAACTTCTTATTGCCCAATTTAGAATAAAACTAAAGAGATCAGGGAAAATACACAGACCAGTTAGGTATGATCTCACTAACATTCCTAGCGAATATACAGTGGAAGTGAAGAACAGATTTGAAGGACTAGATTTAGTAAACAGAGTCCCAGAAGAACTATGGACAGAAGTCCGAGACATTGTTCAGGAGGCGGCAACAAAGTACGTCCCAAAGAAAAAGAAAACCAAGAAGGCAAAATGGCTGTCTGCTGAGACACTGGAAGTAGCCCAAGAAAGGAGGAAAGCAAAAGGAAACAGGGATAAGGGGAGATATGCCCAGTTAAATGCGCAATTCCAGAGGTTAGCCAGAAGAGATAAGGAACTATTTTTAAATAAGCAATGCATGGAAGTGGAAGAAGACAACAGAATAGGAAGGACAAGAGACCTCTTCCAGAAAATTAGAAACATTGGAGGTAAATTTCAGGCAAAAATTGGTATGATAAGAAACAAAGATGGCAGGGACCTAACAGAAGCTGAAGAGATCAAGAGAAGGTGGCGAGACTATACAGAAGATCTGTATAGAAAGGATAATAATATTGAGGATAGTTTTGACGGTGTGGTGAATGAATTAGAACCAGACATCCTGAGGAGTGAGGTTGAATGGGCCTTAAGAAGCATTGATAACAACAAGGCAGCAGGAGATGACGGGATCCCAGCTGAACTGTTTAAAATCTTAAAAGATGATGCTGTCAAGGTGATGCATGCCATTTGCCAGCAAATATGGAAAACACAAGAATGGCCATCAGACTGGAAAAAGATCAACTTATATCCCCATACTAAAAAAGAGAAATGCTAAAGATTGCTCAAACTTTCATACAGTGGTAATTATTTCTCATGCCAGTAAGGTAATGCTCAAGATCCTGCAAGGAAGACTCCAGCAATACAGAGCGAGAGTTGCCAGATGTTCAAGCTGGGTTTAGAAAAGGTAGAGGAACGAGAGACCAAATTGCCAATATCCGCTGGATAATGGAGAAAGGCAGGGAGTTTCAGAAAAACATCTACTTCTGCTTCATTGACTATTCTAAAGCCTTAGACTGTGTGGATCATAATAAATTGTGGCAAGTTCTTAGTGGGATGGGCATCCCAAGCCCCCTTCCCTCTCTCCTGAGGAATCTGTACAAGGACCAAGTAGCAACAGTCAGAACTGACCACGGAACAACAGACTGGTTCAAGATTGGGAAAGGCGTACGGCAAGGCTGCATCCTCTCACCCAACCTTTTTAACTTGTATGCAGAACACATCATGCGAGGATGTGCGGGGCTGGATGAATGCAAAGCTGGGGTGAAAATTGGTGGAAGAAACATTAACAACCTCAGATATGCAGATGACACCACTCTGATGGCCGAAAGCGAGGAGGAGCTGAGGAGCCTTCTAATCAAGGTGAAAGAAGAAAGCGCAAAAGCTGGGTTGCAGCTAAGCCAAAAAAACCAAGATTATGGCAACAAGAATGATTGACAACTGGAAAATAGAGGGAGAAACCGTGGAGGCCGTGACAGACTTTGTATTTCTAGGTGCAAAGATGACTGCAGATGCAGACTGTGGCCAGGAAATCAGAAGACGCTTCCTTCTTGGGAGGAGAGCAATGTCCAATCTCGATAAAATAGTAAAGAGTAGAGACATCAGACTGGCAACAAAGATCCGCCTAGTCAAAGCCATGGTATTCCCTGTAGTAACCTACGGATGTGAGAGCTGGACCATAGGGAAGGCTGAGCGAAGGAAGATAGATGCTTTTGAGCTGTGGTGTTGGAGGAAAGTTCTGAGAGTGCCTTGGACTGCGAGAAGATCCAACCAGTCCATCCTCCAGGAAATAAAGCCCAACTGCTCATTGGAGGGAAGGAGACTAGAGACAAAGTTGAAGTACTTTGGCCACATCATGAGGAGACAGGAAAGCCTAGAGAAGACAATTATGCTGGGGAAAGTGGAAGGCAAAAGGAAGAGGGGCCGACCAAGGGCAAGATGGACGGATGGCATCCTTGAAGTGACTGGACTGACCTTGAAGGAGCTGGGGGTGGTGACGGCCGACAGGGAGCTCTGGCGTGGGCTGGTCCATGAGGTCACGAAGAGTCGGAAACGACTGAACGAATGAACAACACAACAAGTGATATGGTGCAATATAGCAATGTTTAATGCTGATATTGTACTATGCTAATAACATAATAGTCCAATGAGAGGCAGCCAGGTTAATAACTGGGGCGGCATACATGGAGCATACAACTCCCATGTTACGTCAGCTCCACTGGCTGCCAGTTTGCTACCGGGCACAATTCAAAGTGCTGGCTTTGGCCTATAAAGCCCTAAACGGCCCCGACCCAAATTACCCGTCCGAACGCATCTCCCCCTATGTACCATCGCGGAGATTAAGATCCTCCAGGGAGGCCCTGCTTTCCGTCCCACCATTGGTGGGGACGAGAGACAAGGCCTTCTCGGTGATTGCTCCCCAGCTCCCTTCCTTGTGAGATCAGGTCGGCCCCTCCCTCCTGTCCTTTAGAAGGATGGTCAAAACTTGGCTGTGGGACTAAGCTTTCGGGACAGGGCAATAAAGCAGAAATAGGAAAGATTACCAGGCCAATTAGATTTCACGTGGATGACTAGGACGGTTTTAAATGGTGCATTTTAATATTTTGGTAAATGTTTTTAATTTGTGTCCCGGCATTGAAAGTTTGCCATATATATGTTGTGCTCCGCCCTGAGTCCCCGTCGGGGTGAGAAGGGTGGAATATAAATGTTTTAAATTAATAAATCTATATAAATAAAAATGTAATGCTCATTTGTGGGATTAACATAACTCAAAACCACTGGGCAAATTGACACCAAATTTGGACACAATACACCTATGAGGCCAACAAGTGACCATCACTCATAAAAACACTGAAAAACACAACAGAAAAGACTTAAAGAGGCAAAAAAACCATTACAACACGTGTGCAAAACCACACACATATATTCAAACACACATATAAATATATACACACACAAAGCACATATTCACAGACTGGGCCACAGCAATGCGTGGCAGGGGACGGCTAGTAAATAAATAAATGTGTACTGTGATCCACCCTGAGTCCCATTGGGGAGATAGGGCAGAGTATAAATAAAGTGTTGTTGTTGTTGTTATTATTCACACCTGCATCCAACAGACAAGAGTTCTTTCTCCCACCCTGGACATCATTCCACAGATATATAAACCCCACTTGCCTACTTTCCAACAGACCTCACAATCTCTGAGGATGCTTACCATAGATGTGGGTGAAACATCAGGAGAGAATGCTTCTGGAACATGGCAATACAGCCCGGAAAACTCACAGCAACTCAGTGATTCCGGCCATGAAAGCCTTCGACAATAGACCTCACAACCTCTGAAGATGCTTGCCATAGATGTGGCCGAAATGTCAGGTGAGAATGCTTCTGGAATAAGGCAATACAGCCTGGAAAACTCACAGCAACCCAGTCATTCCGGCCATAAAAGCCTTCTTTTTTTTCGGTCGTATCAGGAGCGACTTGAGAAACTGCAAGTCGCTTCTGGTGTAAGACAATTGGCCGTCTGCAAGGACGTTGCCCAGGAGACACCTGGATGATTTGATGTTTTTATCATCCTTGCGGGAGGCTTCTCTCATGTCCCCACATGAGGAGCTGGAGCTGATAGAGGGAGCTCATCCACCTCTCCCTGGATTCGAACCTGTGACCTGTCGGTCTTCAGTTCTGCTGGCACAGGGGTTTAACCCACTGCGCCACCGCGGGCTCCTATGAAAGCCTTCGACAATAGATCTCACAACCTCTGAGGATGCTTGCCATAGATGTGGGCAAAACGTCAGGAGAGAATGCTTCTGGAACATGGCAATACAGCCCGGAAAACTCACAGCAACGCAGTGATTCTGGTCATGAAAGCCTTCGACAATATACATCACAACCTCTGAGGATGCTTGCCATAGATGTGGGTGAAACGTCAGGAGAGAATGCTTCTGGAAAACTCGCCTGGAAAACTCACAGCAACCCAGTGATTCCAGCCATGAAAGCTTTCGACAACATATAACCAACAAAATTTCTGCATCTAAGCACCCGATTTTAAAGTAATAACACGATTGTTGAAACACAGCATTGTTTATAGGGATTTTTGCTCAGAATCTGCCTCATCAAAGCCTAAATAAAAATGTGAATCCCCAATTCTCCATGATCCAAGGAAAAAAAGGTTCAGAACAACACATACAAAGTTAACTGCATATCACAAGGAAGGAGAGATTTTTTTGGTGCCCTGCATCAAAGAAACCCATTTTGTCTCAAACCCCAGAGTTTTTAAAACTAACATTTCAGAAGAACGAAGTCAGGAAGAAATTAAAATAGCAGACAGAGAGAAATGACTACCTCGGTCAGGAGGTTTCGAGGTATGCTTTTGTTTGTTACTATCTGAAATATAGAAAAGAGAATGAGAGAAAAGTGAACACATTCTAGATCACGCACGTTAACATGCACACAGTAAAGCTATACGAGGCGATTAAAAGGGAGGAAAGAAAAAAAGGGCTAGTTGGGTGTTATTTTAAATCAAAAAGGGGGGATTCTTGCAGGAAAGTCAAGGAGGAGAGAAAGAAAAGTAATTTCAAAAACTCATAAAGACTTGCCAATTGCACCCCAAATTTCACATCAATCTCCGAGTTTGCATGGGCATTAAATGTCCAGATTAATAGGCACAGGAAAAAAATAACAATATGGAATTAATAAGGAATACGGCACAGAAAGGTCACAGAATAGAGCTCAAGTCCCAACACCTAGGCACTTAAAGCAGGGGTCCCCAAACTTTTTGAACAGAGGGCCGGGTCACAGTCCCGCAAAACTGTTGGAGGGCCGGATTATAATTTGAAAAAAAAAAAATGAATGAATTCCTATGTACTCTGAACATATATTATTTGCAGTGCAAACCCTCCCCCCCCCCCCAATCAAAAAACAAAAACCCACACTTCTATATAAATAAAAATGTAATGTTCGTTTGTGGGATTAATAGAACTCCAAAACCACTGGACGAATTGACACCAATTTTGGACACAAGACACCTAACAACCCAATGTATGTCCTTTACACAAAAAATTGATTTTGTCATTTGGGAGTTGTAGTTGCTGGGATTTATAGTTCAACTACAATCACAGAGCATTTTGAACCCCACCAACGATGGAATTGAACCAAACTTGGCACACAGATCTTCCATGACCAACTGAAAATACTGGAAGGGTTTGGTGGACAGTGTCCTTTGGTTTTGGAGTTGCAATTCACCTACATCAGAAGTAGGTGAATGTGGACTCAAAAAATGATGGATCGGGATCAAACTTAGCACAAATACTTAATATGCCCAAATTTGAACACTGATGGAGTTTGGGGAAAATAGAATCTTGACATTTGGGAGTTGTAGTTGCTGGGATTTATAGTTCACCTACAATCAAAGAGCATTCTGAACCCCACAACGATGGAATTGAACCAAACTTGGCACACAGTTCTCCCATGACCAACAGAAAATACTGGAAGGGTTTGGTGGGCAGTGTCCTTTGCTTTTGGAGTTGTAGTTCACCTACATCCAGAGATCACTGTGGACTCAAACAATGATGGATCTGGACCAAACTCTACATGAATACTCAATATGCCCAAATGTGAACACTGGTGGAGTTTTGGGAGTTGTAGTTGCTTGGATTTATAGTTCAATCAAAGCACATTCTGAACTCTACCAATGATGGAATTGAACCAGTCTTGGTACACAGAACTCCCATGAACAACAGAAAATACTGGGTTTAGTGGGCATTGACCTTGAGTTTTGGAGTTGTAGTTCACCTGCCTTCACCACGCCGGCGTTCCCTGGCCACGCCCACCCAGCGCCGCTCCGTCAATTGCGGACACCCTCTGCTCCAGCCGCTCTGCTCTGCAGAGGTGCGAAGGCCGGAGCGGCGCCAGGTGGGTGTGGCCAGGCCAGGCCAGGCCGCGCGGGCTGGAGAAATGCCCTCGGCGGGCCGCATACGGCCCATGGGCCGTAGTTTGGGGACCCCTGACTTAAAGCATCCAAGGTGACAATGCTTATTTTTTGATATATATATATATTATTTTTATGCATTTTATGTTGATATGTGTAGACTTTATTGATATATGTATTTTATTTTTTGATATATGTATTTTATTTTTATGCATTTTATGTTGACATGTTTTGACGTTATTGGAACCTGCCTTGAGCCATTAGAAAAGGCAGGTAACAATTAAAATGTATTATTGGTGTTATTTTGTCCCCAAAGATTAAGGAACACTGGTCACATTTTGTCTGTTAAGGGATTGATTTAAACAGGTGTAAAGGAGTGCAAAGTTTTATGTTTTCCTAGCAAACAAAAGCACTCTGAAAACGGGGAAAATGCTGCCCATTTTCAAAGCCAATATATGGTTTGGGTTGTTATAAGTTTTCCGGGCTGTCTGGCTATGTTCCAGAAGCATTCTCTCCTGACATTTCACCCACATCTATGGCAGGCATCCTCAGAGGTAGGAGCCCTCGGTGGCGCAGTGGGTTAAACCCCTGTGCTGGCAGGACTGAAGACCGACAGGTCGCAGGTTCGAATCCGGGGAGAGGCGGATGAGCTCCCTCTATCAACTCCAGCTCCTCATGCGGGGACATGAGAGAAGCCTCCCACAAGGATGATAAAAACATCAACTCATCCGGGCATCCCCTGGGCAACGTCCTTGCAGACGGTCAATTCTCTCACAGCAGAAGAGACTTGCATTTTCTCACGTCGCTCCTGACACAACAAAAAAAAAAATCCTCAGAGGTTGTGAGGTCTGTTGGAAACTAGGCAAGTGGGGTTTATATATCTGTGGAATAATGTCCAGGGTGGGAGAAAGAACTCTTGTCTTATTGTGGTAGGTGTGATTGTTTAGCATGTAATGGCCAAGCAGTTTCAAGGTGTGCCTTCTTACAGCCTGGGGGAATCCTTTTGTTGAGAGGTGATTAGATGCCCCTAACTGTTTCTTGTCTGGAGTTCCCCTGTTTTTGAGTGCTGTTCTTTATTTACTGTTATGATATTAGAGGGTTTTTTTAATACCGCTAGCCAGATTTTGTTCATTTTCATGGTTTCTTCTCGTTTCAACTGGACAGTTCATCTTGTCTCCTGTGCTTTACTAATAATATAATATATGTATATTATATATACATATAATATTTATATGTATACATAATATATTATATTACTAGTAAAGTATATTATATTATATTATAATGTAATACAATATAATACTACCAGTACTAATAATAGTAATACAATATTATAATTATATATTTTATATTACATGTAATATTACTAATAATATTACAATACTAGCTGTACCCGCCACGCGTTGCTGTGGCCAACCTTCCCTCCCTCTTTCTCTCTTTCTTTTCCTCCTTACTTCACTCCTTCTTTCCTTCCTTCCTTCCCTTTCCTTCTCTCCTTCCTTCTCTACCTCTTTTTCTTTTCCTTCCCTTTCTCTCCTTTCTTCCTTCTCTATCTCTTTCTTTCTTTCCTTCCTTCCTTCCTTCACTTTTTGCTTCTATCCTTCATTCTGTTTTTTCTTCCCTCCCTTTTTCTCTCCTTTCTTCCTCCTCTACCTCTTTCCTTCCTTCCTTCTTTCCTTCCTTTGCTTTTTGCTTCCATCCTTCCTTCACTCTTTCCTTCCCTCCCACTTTCTCTCCTTTCCCTCCTTCCTTTCTTTTTTCTTTCCTTCTCTCCTTCCTTCCTTCTCTACCTCTTTCCCCCTTTTCCTTTTCCTTCACTTTTTGCTTCCAACCTTCATTCTGTCTTTCCTTCCCTTTCCTTTCTCTTCTCTACCTCTTTCCTTCCTTCCTTTCTTTTTGCTTCCATCCTTCCTTCTCTATTTCCTTCTTTCCTTCCCTCCCTCTTTCTCTCTTCTTCCTTCCTTTCCTTTTTTCTTTCCTTCTCTCCTTCCTTCCTTCTGTACCTCTTTCTTTCCTTCCCTCTTTTTCTTTTGCTTCCTCTTTCACTCCTTTCTTCCTTCTCTGCCTCTTTCCTTCCTTGCTCCGCTCTTTGCTTCCATGCTTCCTTCTCTCTCTCTCTCCTCTTCCTTCCCCCTTTTCCCCCTGTATCATCATTTAGCTTTTCGTCATTTAGCTTTCTGGGGTTTTAAAATCCTTTCCACTTTTTTGGGGGGGGGGGGGTTATGAGTGATGGTCACTCATTGGTCTGTTAGGGGTATCGTGTCCAAATTTTTTGTGTCAATTCACCCAGTGGTTTTTGAGTTATGTTAATCCCACAAACGAACATGACATTTTTATTTATATAGATAATGGTGTAGTACAATATTGTTATATTTAATACTGATACTGTACTATGCTATAGGGCTGGGCGGTTTCGTTTCGTTAATTCGTAATTCGTTAAAAATTCGTTATTTTTTTATAAATAACGAAGCGATAACGAACCATTCTGGAGCAACTTAAAAACGAAACGAATTTTTAAATTCGTTTCGTAAATGCTTCGGATTCGTTATGTATTCGTTTCGTTATCGGTTTGAGGTCGTTTCGTTATTATTTCCGCATGTCTGGGGCAAGTTATATAGTTGTTTTTTGTTTAATTAGTGAAAAAAAATTATAATATCACACCAACAGTCAACAACAGAGGGAGAGGGAAGCTTCAGAAGTTCCCCCTGTCCCATTTGGAGGTTTTTTAGCGTATTGCGCGGTCGTGTCCGCCATTAACGAATCGATTCGTTATTGTTTCGTATTTGTTTCGTTAATGTTTCGTATTTTTTTTTTAACATTTACAAAATTTCGTAAATATCGAACTTTTAAAAGAAAAATTTCGGAATTCTTTTAAATATAGAAACGCAAAAAACCCCCAAAAACGAATCGATTTTAGAAACAAATTTTTCCGTTGTTACCCAGGCCTACTATGCTAATAATTTAATACATTTTATGTATGCGTGTGTGTGTGTGTGTGTGTGTGTATATATATATATGCCGCCCTTCTCACCCCAAAGGGGACTCAGAGCGGCTTACAATATATATATATATATATATATATATATATATATATCTTGTAAGCCGCTCTGAGTCCCCTTTAGGGTGAGAAGGGCGGCATATAAATGCCATAAATAAATAAATAAATAAAATCTGGCTGACGGTATTAAAAACTTCTAATAATGCATATATATGTGTGTGTATCTCTCTCTCTCTCGTAAGCCGCTCTGAGTCCCCTTTGGGGTGAGAAGGGCGGCATATAAATGTCGTAAATAAATAAATAATAAATAAAATAAATCATAACAGTAAATAAAGAACAACACTCAAAAACTGAGGAACTCCAGACAAGAAACAATCAGGGACAGCTAATCACCTCTCAACAAAGGATTCCCCCAGAAGCCACACCTTGAAACTGATATGCCATTAAATGCTAATCAAGGTGGCCAATTGAAACATTCATACCTACCTCCAACAGACAAGAGTTCTTTCTCGCACCCTGGACACTCCACAGATATATAAACCGCATTTTCCTAGTTTCCAACAGACCTCACAACCTCTGAGGATGCTTGCCATAGATGCAGGCGAAACGTCAGGAGAGAATGCTTCAGGAACATGGCTATACAGCCCAAAAAACTTGCAACAGTCCAGTGATTCTGGCCATTATAGCCTTTGACAATACATTAAATATATGGTTTTCTTGGCCTAGTATCCCATGACAAAACAACCCAGGAAACTCTTATCGCTATCATCACACAGACCCTCAAAATAGACCTCAATGCACTAGCTTCAGAAAAGGTGCCTGAAAAGCAAAGTAACAAGAACGAGCAGGAATTGGACCCGGATCTTCCATGCGTTTTTCTAAGAGATCTAACCACAGCGTCATCCAACCCACCCATTAAAAAGCAATGCATGCCTTTTCAAAGCGCTACCACAAAGCTCGCCTTTTTTTGTTTGTTTGTTTTACTCACTGTCACAGGCATAAGGTTTGTCTCGGTCTTCCAAAATAGCGGCATCCAACTTTTTTCGGGCAGACCCCACGCCTTTGCCCTAGAGAGTCCAGAAAGGAGGAAGTCATACCTTTTATTTATATATTTATATGCCATCCTTCTCACCCCGAAGGGGATTCAGAGAGGCTTACAAGGTATATATACATACAATATATTTTAATTACAAAAATGTGAGTCAAGCACTGAAAGCGTCAAATGGATGCAATGACTCAGCAAAAGCTGCAGTTCAATATAAGCTTAGTAGCCCTCAGTCTCAGAGAGCCCTCAGTGTGAGAAGGCCTCAGAGTTAGTTCACCTCAGTGTGAGAGGAGATTCCATCTGAACATTAGGAAGAACTTCCTGACTGTGAGAGCTGTTCAGCAGGGGCAAAACGTTAGAATCATAGACTCAAAAGAGTTGGAAGAGACCTCATGGGCCATCCAGTCCAACCCCATTCTGCCAAGAAGCAGGAATATTGCATTCAAATCACCCCTGACAGATGGCCATCCAGCCTCTGTTTAAAAGCTTCCAAAGAAGGAGCTCCACCACACTCTGGGGCAGAGAGTTCCACTGCTGAACGGCTCTCACAGTCAGGAAGTTCTTCCTCATGTTCAGATGGAATCTCCTCTTGTAGTTTGAAGCCATTGTTCCGCGTCCTAGTATCCAGGGAAGCAGAAAACAAGCTTGCTCCCTCCTCCCTGTGGCTTCCTCTCACATATTTATACATGGCTATCATATCTCCTCTCAGCCTTCTCTTCTTCAGGCTAAACATGCCCAGCTCCTTAAGCTGCTCCTCATAGGGCTTGTTCTCCAGCCCTTGATCATTTTAGTCGCCCTCCTCTGGACACATTCCAGCTTGTCAATATCTCTCTTCAATTGTGGTGCCCAGAATTGGACACAATATTCCAGGTGTGGTCTAACCAAAGCGGAATAGAGCATGGAGAGCATGACTTCCCTAAATCTAGACACTATGCTCCTCTTGATGCAGGCCAAAATAACATTGGCTTTTTTTGCCGCCACATCACATTGTTGGCTCATGTTTAACTTCCTGTCCACGAGGACTCCAAGATCTTTTTCACACATACTGCTCTCGAGCCAGGCATTGTCCCCCATTCTGTATCTTTGCATTTCATTTTTTCTGCCTAAGTGGAGTATCTTGCATTTGTCCCTGTTGAACTTCAGTTTGTTAGTTTTTTCCCATCTCTCTAATCTGTCAAGATCATTATGAATCCTGCTCCTGTCCTCTGGAGTATTGGCTATCCCTCCCAATTTGGTGTCATCTGCAAACTTGATGATCGTACCTTCTAACCCATGAGGTCTCTTCCAACTCTATGATTCTATGAGAGAGGTGTCAGTCTGAGAGAGCCCTCTGTGTGAGAAGGCCTCAATGGGAGAAATAATAATAATAATAATAATAATAATAATAATAATAATAATAATAATAATCAATGACAGATCCCAAATCTGCAACAAAGCAAATGAAACAATAGATCACATCCTCAGCTGCTGCAAGAAGATCGTGCAGACACACTACAAACAGAGGCACAACACCGTTGCTCAGATGCTTCATTGGAACTTGTGCCACAAAGACCATCTGCCTGCGTCAAAGAACTGGTGGGATCACAAGCCAGAAAAAGTTACAGAGAATGAACATGTCAAGCTATTCTGGGACTTCCGGATTCAGACAGAGTTTTGGAGCACAACACTCCTGACCTCACAATTGGCTAAAAAACAAAGTATGGATTGTCGATGTTGCAATCCCAGGTGACAGCAGGATTGAAGAGAAACAACTGGAGAAGATGACACGATACGAGGAATTAAAGATTGAACTGCAAAGACTCTGGCACAAGCCAGTCAAGGTGGTGCCAGTGGTGATTGGCACACTGGGTGTAGTGCCTAAAGACCTTGGCCTGCATTTAAACACAATTGGTGCTGACAAAATTACCATCTGCCAGCTGCAGAAGGCCACCTTACTGGGATCTGCACGCATTATTTGCCGATACATCACAAAGTCCCAGACCAGGGGGTCCTCAAACTTTTTAAACAGTGGGTTGCTCTCCCTGTTATCCTTTAAAACCCTCCTGGTTAGAGACATCCTACCTCTGTTCACGCCCAGTGTTCATTTAAATTTTTTAATTTAATTTTTTAATTCAATTTATTAATTTATTATTAAATTATTTATTTATTTAATGTTTAATTATGTATTTAATTAATTTATGGCCCGGCCATAAGGTTTTAAAATGTTGTACGTTGCTGTTTATATGTGAGTTATATTAATTGTATTGTTTTATTTGCTTACTGCTTTGTTGTTTTACTGATGTGTTGTTGAGCTTGGCTTCATGTAAGCCGCCCCGAGTCCCCTGGGGAGATAGTGTTGGGGTATAAATAAAGTTTTTCTTGTTGTTGTTTTTGTAAATAGTGTGACCATATTATTTTGCTATAAAGAAAAGCCTCCTATGGAAGAGATAACATTGATCTGAGTGTTTTTGATATTTTACCACTTTGGGCTACTGGTTCTAGGTCATAGTTACTCTGCTGTACAGTTATGAGGAGGGTCTTTTGTTAATAAGACCACTCGCCCAACCATTTCGTATCCAAAAAATGCCAGCCATACCTTGGCTTTGCCTTTGCCTCTTCGTTTTGGAGTGTCTTCTTCGTAGTCTTCGTCATCCAAGTCATCCAAGAAATCATCGGGTTCCAAAATGCGCTGGAATTAACAAGGAATTAACATTATTTTAGAGAAAGGAAGGTAGCTGGGGGAAGGGATATTAATTTTTACTAAGCAGTAAGTCCCTCCTTCCTTTCACACAATGTGTTCCACCTCCCTGGGTTTTGGAAAACAAGCCACAACTTTTCTTCTTCAGATGCCTTACTAGGCTACTGAAGTTGACGCTGGAAGACGGCCAGCGCAGTTATGAGGTTCAGCAGTTCACCAAGACAATAATATGATGAAAACCAGAGCGCTGCTGTGCGCACACACATACAAGGTATTGCAAAGGCAAAATGATTGGTATTTCACATAAACCCCATCATGAGTGAAAAGTAAAAGAGGGCAAGGTAAGCAAAACAGGGTTGCCAGAAAAAAGTATTGTTTTTAAAGAATGAGTGAAAAATAATATGGAAATACTGAAATGGAAATACTGAAGAATATTATTTTTCAATCATTTTTTTAAAAGTATGGAAATAGGAGCCTCCGGTGGCACATTAGGTTAAACCCTTGTTCTGGCAGGACTGAAGTCAGACAGGTTACAGGTTCAAATCCAGGGAAAGCGTTGATGAGCTCCACCTGTCAGCTCCAGCTCCCCATTCGGGGACATGAGAGAAAACTCTCAGCAATATGCCCTCAAAATGCACTTTACCATTGAGTTAGGACTGACTGCGTTCCTCCATCTCCTCTTGAAGATTCTATCCCAGTTATATCCTACCTTGTTCATGTCCAGCATTATTTTTAATTTTATTTATTTATTTATTTATTTATTTATTTATTGAGAACTTTTATATACCGGTCTTCTCAACCTCCGCAAAGGGACTCAGGCCAATTCACAAGAGAGTCATAAACAATAATTTAAAATATCACATCACATAATGCACTAATACATAAAATACATTAAAATACAATCATATAATTACATAAGGCCAAGTCATCAGAATGAAATCACAATTCATCACCATCTGTCCGTGTGGTCAAGAGTTATTGACTCACTCATCGAATGCTAAATTCCAGAGCCAAGTTTTCACCAGCTTTCTGAAAGTCAGGAGAGAAGGGGCAGTTCTAATCTCCAGTGGGAGAGAGTTCCAGAGCTGAGGGGCCACCATCGAGAAGGCCCTGTCCCTCGTCCCCACCAGACACGATTGCGAGGGTGGTGGGACCAAGAGCAGGGCCCCTCCAGGAGATCTTAATAACCTTGATGGTTCATAGGGGAGAATCCGTTCGGACAGGTAAATTGGGCCGGAGTTGTAATAGATTTGTAATATGTAATAGATTTTAATCTATTACATTTGGCCCGGCCATTGGTTTTAAATGCTTGTGTGTTACTGTTGATTTATTGTTTATTTTTTGTTATGTGGCTTATATTAATTGTATTGCTTTGATTGTTTTGTTATTGCTTTGTTTATTGATGTATTGTGGGCTTGGCGTCATGTAAGCCGCACTGAGTCCCTTGAAGAGATGGTAGCAGGGTACAAATAAAGCTTTATTATTATTATTATTGAGTCTCCCACAAAGATGGTAAAACATCAAACCATCTGGGCGTCCCCTGGCCAACGTCCTTGCAGACAGCCAATTCTCTCACACCAGAAGCGACTTGCAGTTTCTGAAGTCGCTCCTGACATGGAAAAAAAAGTATGGAAATTACATATAAACTTACACTTGGAAAAGAGTAGGCTTGTTTTGTCTAGCTCAGCATTTTGCTAACTGGTGGTCAGGACCCCGGGGGGGGGGGGGTCGCAAGGGGGTTTCAGAAGGGTCACCAAAGACCATCAGAAAACATATATTTCTGATGGTCTTAAGAGCCCCTTTGGCAGAGAAGGCTGAAAATTTCTCTGACTGTCCTTCTCTTTCTTTTTGGAAACGGATGAGGAATCTCCCCACCAAAAGCCCTCCTCCACTGTGATTGGTCAGCCTCTCAGCTGACTTCTCAGCCAAGGAGAGGTGTTTCTGACACTCCAAGCAAGGAGGGGAGAGCAGGTGCACTTGGCATATATGTGTGGGCAAGGGAGAGCGTGCAAAGCTGAAGGGAGGCTCACGCCAGCGAGTCCCTTCAAGACACAGGGATTCTGTGTGGGAAGTTTGGCCCTATTCTATCATTGGTGGGTTCAGAATGATCTTTGATTGTAGGTGAACTATAAATCCCAGCAAACACAACTCCCAAATGTCAAGGTCTATTTTCCCCAAACCCCACCACTGTTCACATTTGGGCATATTGAGTATTCGTGCCAAGTTTGGTCCAGGTGTATCATTGTTTGGGTCCACAGTGCTCTCTGGAGATAGGTGAACTACAATTTCAAAACTCAAGGTCAAGGCCATCAAACCCTTCCAGTATATTCTGTTGGTCATGGGAGTTCCACGTTTGGTTCAATTCCATTGTTAGTGGAGTTCAGGATGCTATTTGATTGTAAGTGAACTATAAATCCGAATAACTACAACTCCCAAATGACAAAATCAATCCCCTCCAACCCCAGCGGTATTCAAATCTGGGTGTATCGAGTATTTGTACCATATTTTGTCCAGTGAATGAAAATACATCCTGCATATCAGATATTTACATTACGATTCATAACAGTAGCAAAATTACAGTTATGAATTAGCAGCGAAAATAATGTTATGTTTGGGGGTCACCACCACATGAGGAACTGAATTAAGGGGTCGTGGTATTAGGAAGGTTGAGAAACACTGGTCTAGCTATTGTTCTATCTGGCAGATGCTCTCCAGACTTCTAATCTGGACATCTAATCACCTCTCAACAAAAGTTTGCTCTAGGCACTGTCAGGCCATTATATGCTAATCAAGGTGGTCAGTTGAAACATTCACACTTAGCTCCAGGAGACAAGAGTCCTTTGCCCCACCCTGGTCATTCCACAGATATATAAACCCTTTTTCCTAGTTCCAACAGACCTCACTATCTCTCCAGACTATTAGGCACAGAACCGTCTTCCTCATCAACTACTGTACTCTCAATCTTTTTTACTGCAGATGACAAAAATTGACCTTTGGGATATTCTAAACCCAAAGCAAGTGTTATGTCTTTATTTATTTATTTACGGACATTTATATGCTGCCCTTCTTACCCCGAAGGGGACTCAGAGCAGCTTACAAGTAAAAACAAAATACAATATATTATATTATTACCATAGCACAATATTAATATTATATATTACAGTGTACTATAACATTACACTGTAATATTATTAGTAACTAGCTGTACCCGCCACACGTTGCTTTGGCCAACCCTCCCTCCCTCTTTCTCTCCTTCTTTCTTTCTCTCCTTCCTTCCCTCTTTTTCTTTCCTTTCTTCTTTCTTCCTTCTCTACCTACCTGTGTCTTTCCTTGCTTCCTTTGCTCTTTGGTTCCATCCTTCCTTCCTTCCTTCCCTCTTCTCTTTCATTCCTTCTCTCCTTCCTTCCCTCTCTCTTTCCTTCCTTCTTTCACTTTTTATTTCCTTCTCTCCTTCCTTCCTTCCTTCCTTCTCTCCCTTTCTTTCCTTCTCTCCCTTCTTTCACTTTTTTATTTCCTTCTCTCCTTCCTTCTTTCTTTCTTTCCTTCTCTCCGTCTTTCTTTCTTCCTTCTCTCCTTCCTTCCCTCTCTTTCCTTCCTACTTTCACTTTTTTATTTCCTTCTCCTTTCTCTACCTTTCTTTCTTTCCTTCTCTCCCTTTCTTTCTTCCTTCTCTCCTTCCTTCCCTCTTTCCTTCCTTCACTTTTTATTTCCTTCTCTCCTTCCTTCTCTACCTTTCTTTCTTTCCTTCTCTCCCTCTTTCTTCTTTCTCTCCTTCCTTCCCTTTCCTGCCTTCTTTCACTTTTGTATTTCCTTCTCTCCTTCCATCCTTTCCTCCCTCTTTCTCTCCTTCTTTCCTTCCTTTTTGCCCCTTTCTGTGTATATGTGTTTTGTGTGTGCATATATGTGTGTATATATTTCTGTATATATGTGTGTTTGTGTATATATGTGGTTTTGTACATGCGTTGTAATGCATTTTTTTGTTTTTTGGCTTTTTAAGTTTCATCCACTGCGTTTTCCAGTGTTTTTAGTAGTGATGGTCACTTGTATGATTATAATATATTATTATTAGTAGTATTATATTGTACTAGCTGTGCCCTGCCACGCGTTGCTGTGGCCTATAGTAAAACTTATCAAAGTTGAGGTAGATATCTGGACTATTATGAAAGAGAGGTACCTACCTATTCCTTCCCTCTTTTCCTCCCCCTTTCTCTCCTTTCTTCCTTCTCTACCTCTTTCTTTCTTTCACTACTTGGTTTCATCCTTCTCTCTTTCCTTCATTCCCTCCCCCTTTCTTCCTTTGCCTTTCTTCCCTCCCTGTTTGCTTCCTTCTTTCACTTTTTATTTCCTTTTATTTTACCACCATCATAACAATAACAATAATGCAATGCATTGCCTCTGGGACCTGACACCTCTCCCATTCCCCCTAAAGGGTCTCATAGGAACAATAGCATAATAATAATAATAATAATAATAATAATAATAGAAATAACAACCTTTACCCGCCACGTGTTGCTGTGGCCAATCTTCCCTCTTTCTCTCCTTCTTTCCCTCCTTCCTTCCTTCCTTCCCTCCCATCTTTCCTTCTCCTCTTCTTTCTTTACCTCTTTCCTTCCTTCCCCCTTTTTCTTTCTTTTCTGCTGTCTCTCGTTTCTTTCCTTCCATCTTTCCTTTTCTTTCCTTTTCTTCTTCCTTCTTTCTCTAACTTTCCTTCCTTCCCCCTTTTTCTTTACCTCCCTTTCTCTTTCTTCCTTCTTTCCTTCCTTCCTGTCTTTCCTAGATTTTGACAGGGCGGGGAGGGGTGGGGTGGGGTTGGGGGGGGTGTGGGGTGGGGGAGTGATGGAGCGTGGGGTTGTGTGTGTGTGTGCGGCGGGGGGAGTGGGGTTGCGTGTGTGCGTGCGGCAGCGGGGGAAGTGGATGGAGTGTGGGGTTGTGTGTGTGTGTGCGGGGGGGGAGTGATGGAGTGTGGGGTTGTGTGTGTATGTGCGGCAGGGGTGTGTGTGTGTGTGCGGGAAGCGGCGCGGCGGGGCTTGGAGTGGGCATGGTTTCCGCAGAGGGAACGTTGGCCGGAAGGGCATGTGCGCGCGCCAGGGAACTTGCGGCTGGGCGCCAATGTGCATGCTCAGTTGTTTTGCCGTTTTGTGAGTGTGTTGTTGTGTTGTTTTTCATTTTGAGTAGATACGTTTGTACCTTGTGGGTTGTGTTATGGGCATGGGAATTTTGGTTAAGTTTCGTTGGGTTTTTTTGAGTTTTGTTTTTTTGCCGTTTTGAGTGTGTTGTTGTGTTGTTTTTCATTTTGAGTAATATGTTTGTACCTTGTGGGTTGTGTTATGAGCATGGGAATTTTGGTTAAGTTTCGTTGGTTTTTTAGAGTTTTATCCTTTTGCCGTTTTGTGAGTGTGTTGTTGTGTTGTTTTTCATTTTGAGTAGATATGTTTGTACCTTGTGGGTTGTGTTATGGGCATGGGAATTTTGGTTAAGTTTCGTTGGGGTTTTTTTGAGTTTTGTTGTTTTGCCGTTTTGTGAGTGTGTTGTTGTGTTGTTTTTCATTTTGAGTAGATATGTTTGTACCTTGTGGGTTGTGTTATGGGCATGGGAATTTTGGTTAAGTTTCGTTGGGGGGTTTTTGAGTTTTGTTTCCTCGTTGGATGCCCCTAACAAATTTATATATATAGATTACATTATAATATTATCAATATGATATGTATATACAATATATTATATTATATTATATTATAAGCAGAGTGCAGGGGACAAGATCAAACTTGTCTTTTACTCTGATCTCACAGAGAGCATGGATTTGACGTAAACGAGGGGCATTTTTTCATAGGTCCTTATGCACTTCACTGAAAAACACACTATGCAGAACTCCCCAGCCATCAGATCTACAGATATTTGAGCTCTAGCATCAAAAAGGTGATTTCTCTCAGTCTTCTTTCTCAACCAGTACCTTTCGTGCGCGACTGTTGGTGATGGGGAATTCACCAAGGCTGTCTTCATCCGTGCGTGGGTCCGGCAGGCTGCGCTTCTCGAGAGAGTCCGTCCGCAAGAGAGCCTCCAAGCTGCTCCCATCCTGAGAGATCAAGCCCTCTTTCTTGAGCGTCTGCTCAGTGTCTGCAGAGGGAAAATCCACCAGAAGGGCTACATTAGCAAACAAGGAGCTCTCAGGCACCTTAAAGACAGCTTATGCCTTAATACAAATCACAACAAAATAGCCCACTTATATACAAAATGGAAAATAAATATGTTCATTCAATAATGTGACTGTTGAAACTTATTATACAGTTCAAATTCACAGTAATCACAAACAATATTGTATGAGTTTGGTACAGTCGCTTTGAAATATTATCAACGCCGTATGCTCTTGCGTCGAGTTAGCTGAACTTATTATTTTACATTTCGTATATAAGTGGGCTATTTTGTTGTACTTACTAACTCAGGAACCCATTCATATTGTACTTTTTAATGCAGATCACAACAAATAGCAACAGCGACATAAAGAATTGTCCTCACAGTTACAGAGGTTCTGGCCCAGATTACCTGTTCGAACGTATCTCCTGCCACGAACCATCACATATACTACTAATAATAATATCATATTATAATTATATATTTTATATTACATGTTATATTACTAATAATATTACAGTATACTGTTATAGTGCAGTGTTTCTCAATCTGGGGGTCGGGACCTCTGGAGGGGTCGCAAGGGGGTATCAGACGGGTCACCAAAGACCACCAGAAAACACAATATTTTCTGTTGGTCATGGAGGTTCTGTGTGGGAAGTTTGGCCCAATTCAATCGTTGGTAGGGTTCAGAATGCTCCTTGCTTGTAGGTGAACTATAAATCTCAGCAACTACAACTCCCAAATGTCAAGGTCTATTTTCCCTAAACTCCACCAGTGTTTACATTTGAGCACATTGAGAATTCGTGCCAAGTTTGGTCCAGATCCATCACTGTTTTGAATCCACAGTGCTATCTGGATGTAGGTGAACTACAACTCCCAAAACTCAATGTCAATGCTCACCAAACCCTTCCAGTATTTTCTGTTGGTCATGGCAGTTCTGTGTGCCAAGTTTGATTTAATTCCATCGTTGGTGGAGTTCAGAATGTTCTTTGTAGGTGAACTATAAATTCCAGCAACTACAACTCACACAGGACAAAATCAATATCCTCCCCTAATCCCACCAGTATTCAAATTTAGGTGTATTGGGTATTTGTGCCAAATTTGGTCCAGTGTATGAAAATACATTCTGCATATCAGATATTTACATTACTATTCATAACAGCAGCAAAATTACAGTTATGGAGTAGCAATGAAACTAATTTTATGGTTTGGAGTCACCATAACATGAGGAAGCGTATTAAGGGGTCGTGGCATTAGGAAGGTTGAGAAACACTGTTATAGTGCATTGTAATATATAATATTAACATTGTGCTATGAAAATAATATATTGCATTTACTTTTTACTTGTATGCCGCTCTGAGTCCCCTTCGGGGTGAGAAGGGCGGCATAGAAATGTCATAAATAAATAAATAGATAGATAGATAGATAGATAGACAGACAGACAGACAGACAGATAAGTAAGGAAGGAAGGAAGGAAGGAAGGAAGGAAGGAGAAAGGGAAAGAGAGAAGGAAGGGTGAAAGGAAAGAATAAAAGGAGAAAGAGGTAGGTAGGTAGGTAGGTAAGGAAAGAAGAGAAGGATGGAAAGAGGAAGGAAAGAGAGAAGGAAGGAAGGGCAGGATGGTGTGAGAGAGGAGGGCCTTCAGAAAAGAGCCCAAGGGGCTGCATTTAGGTTCGAACAGAATTATTATTTATTTATTATTTATTTACCTTACTTATATACCGCTGTTCTCAGCCCGAAGGCGACTCACAGCGGTTCACAACAAATACGAACAGCAAAAATTCAGTGCTACAGTATAGAAACAGTTAACAACCTAACACATTACACAATTAATAAACAGTTACTACAATACCCATTCACTCAGAATGAAAACAAACTTGTTCCATCTCATTAAATCAAGCTGTTGTTAGGTGCAAACCTGGTTTAATGGAAGGGAAGGAAAGCCTGGGATCCTCAGGAGGGTGAGCGCGGCGTTTTTTCCTCCAGCGCCGAGCCGGATACGAATAGAGTTGGCCAGATGCCAAACCTTTAAAAAAAAGCAGAGTGGGAAGAACATGTTTTCAGAAATAATAATAATAATAATAATAAACAGAACATAGATTAAAAGCTCTATCTTCAAAGAACTCACATGCCCAACCTTGGGGAGAAGTAATTTGTGTCTCTCCAGGTAAAAATGTAAAGCTTTCCCTTGACATTAAGTCTAGTCATATCCGATTCCGGGGGTTAGTGCTGATCTCCATTTCTAGTCCGAAGAGCCGGCGTTGTCCATAGATGTCTCCTAGGTCATGTGGCTGGCGTGACTGCATGGAGCACCATTACCTTCCTGCAGAATTTTTTCTCACATTTGCAAGTTTTCCAACTACTAAGTTGGCAGAAGCTGGGGCTAACAGCGGGAGCTTACCCCGCTCCCTGGATTCGAACTGCCGACTGGTCAGCAAGTTCAGCAGCTCAGCGGTTTGACTTGCTGCGCCACCAGGAGGCCCTGTCTCTCCAGGTCCTGAATTGCAATTCACAAATTAGAGTCATAGAATCATAGAATCAAAGAGTTGGAAGAGACCTCATGGGCCATTCCTGCCAAGAAGCAGGAATATTACATTCAAATCACCCCTGACAGATGGCCATCCAGCCTCTGTTTAAAAGCTTCCAAAGAAGGAGCCTCCACCACACTACGGGGCAGAGAGTTCCACTGCTGAACGGCTCTCGCAGTCAGGAAGTTCTTCCTCATGTTCAGATGGAATCTCCTTTCTTGTAGTTTGAAGCCATTGTTCCATTACGTCCTAGTCTCCAGGAAGCAGAAAACAAGCTTGCTCCCTCCTCCCTGTGGCTTCCTCTCACATATTTATACATGGCTATCATATCTCCTCTCAGCCTTCTCTTCTTCAGGCTAAACATGCCCAGCTCCTTAAGCCGCTCCTCATGGGACTTGTTCTCCAGACCCTTGATTATTTTAGTCGCCCTCCTCTGGACACATTCCAGCTTGTCAATATCTCTCTTGAATTGTGGTGCCCAGAATTGGACACAATATTCCAGGTATGGTCTAACCATAGAGGGGTAGCATTACTTCCTTAGATCTAGACACTATGCTCCTATTGATGCAGGCCAAAATCCCATTGGCTTTTTTTGCCGCCACATCACATTGTTGGCTCATGTTTAACTTGTTGTCCACGAGGACTCCAAGATCTTTTTCACACGTACTGCTCTCGAGCCAGGCATTGTCCCCCATTCTGTATCTTTTCATTTTGTTTTTCCTGCCAAAGTGGAGTATCTTGCATTTGTCCCTGTTGAACTTCATTTTGTTAGTTTTGGCCAATCATCTCTCTAATCTCTCTAATCCCGTTTTGAATCCTGCTCCTGTCCTCTGGAGTATTGGCTCTCCCTCCCAATTTGGTCCTGTCTGCAAACTTGATGATTCTGCCTTCTAACCCTTCATCTAAGTCAGGGGTCCTCAAACTAAGGCCCGGGGGCCAGATGTGGCCCTCCAAGGTCTTTTACCCGGCCCTCGCTCAGGGTCAACTTAAGTCTGAAATGACTTGACAGTACACAACAACAACAACAATGATCCTACTCATCAGCCAAAAGCAGGCCCACACTTCCTATTGAAATAGTAATAAGTTTATATTTGTTAAAATTGTTCTTCATTTTAATTACTGTATTGTTTTTAAGTGGATTTGCACCACAAATAAGATGTGTGCAGTGTGCATAGGAATTAATTCTTTTTTTTTTCAAATTATAATCCGGCCCTCTAACAGTTTGAGGGACTATGACCTGGCCCACTGTTTAAAAAGTTTGAGGACCCCTGATCTAAGTCATTAATAAAGATGTGGAACAGGATTGGGCCCAGGATGGAACCCTGCAGTACTCCACTCGTCACTTCTTTCCAGGATGAAGAGGAAGCCTTGGGGAGAATCACCCTCTGGATTCGTCCATTTAACCAATTACTGATCTACATCACCGTAGTTTTGCCTAGCCCATACTGGACTAGTTTCCTTGCCAGAAGGTCGTGGGGGACCTTGTCGAAGGCCTTACTGAAATCCAGGTACGCTACATCCACGGCATTCCCCACATCTACCCAAAAAAATTCTGCATTCCATTTTAGTTGTGGCTAGTCTACAGAGCTGGCCCAAATCAGCTGTTCATCGACAAGAAATGAAACTGATGCTGCTGTCACATGCTGAACCCCACAAGAGGAAATAAAACTGCAATCACAATGCCTCATGATCTCCACACAATGTCGTCAACACTATGGCCAACCTGGTCCCCTGTGCCGCTTCTCCATCCAGATGTAGCAGTTGCTCTGCGCCACTCCGGTCTGCGAGTCTAGGAAGGGCAAGCGAACGCTCCTCTCGGCGCACAGCCGGGCGTTGTAGTTGTGGCACTGCTCCATTGCGTCTTTATAGTATTGTTCGCCAAGACTGGAAAGGAGAAGGAAACATGTATAAAAGGGGAGCTTTTCCTTACTAAAGACAGGTGCATGCTCTAATAATAATAATAATAACAACAACAACAACAACTTTATTTATACCCCGCCACCATTTCCCAAACAGACTCGAGGTGGCTTACATGAGGCCAAGCCCAACAACACATCAGTAAAAACAACAAAGCAATAAGCAAATAATACAATCAATATAATTCACATATCAACAATAACACACAAAGATTTAAAAACCTATGGCTGGGCCAGATGTAATAGTTTAAAACAGGGGTCCTCAAACTTTTTAAACAGAGGGCCAGGTCACAGTCCCTCAAACTGTTGGAGGGCCAGATTATAATTTTAAAAAAAGCATGAATGAATTCCTTATGCACACTGCACATAGCTTATTTGTAGTGCAAAAAAAAAACCACACTTAAAAACAATACAATAATTAAAATGAAGAACAATTTTAACATATATAAACTTAATAGTATTTCAATGGGAAGTGTGGGCCTGCTTTTGGCTGATGAGATAGAATTGTTGTTGTTGTTGTGTGCTTTCAAGTCATTTCAGACTAAGCGAGGGCCGGGTAAATGACCTTGGAGGGCCGTATCCGGGCCGCCGGGCCATAGTTTGAGGACCCCTGGTTTAAAATTTTAAAAATAAACGCTGGGCATGAACAGAGGTAGGATGTACCTAGTAGGAGGGTTTTAAAAGAAATGTAGGGAGAGCAACCCAATGGGTAATTAAAGTGCTTCTGAGGACATTTTGCAGGGAATTGTTACCTTTATTCAGGGAAGGCACACTGGAACAGCCACGTTTTCAGGCTCTTCCTAAAGACTGCCAATGTGGGGGCTTGCCTGATATCCTTGGGAATTGAGTTCCAGAGTCGGGGAGCCACCATAGAGAAGGCCCTCTCCCTCGTCTCCCACCAATCGCGCCTGCGAAGGGTGCGGGAGCGAAAGCAGGGCCTCTCCAGATGATCGAAGAGATTACGTGGGCTCGTACACAGAAATGTGGTAACGTTGGTAGGCAGGTCCCAAACCATTCAGGACTTTGTAGGTAAGAACCTGCACCTTGAATTGGGACCAGAAAATGAACGGCAGCCAATGGAGCTCCCAGTGTTTTAATTTTTTTTTATTTATCCTTGAATTTGGCCCTGCCTAGTGACATTTTTGTGTTTTTTGCTTGATTTTATATTGTTGTGCCGTATATTATATTGATTTTGCATTTTATGTATTTTGTTTGGTTTTACTATGTTTTTGTGTTATATTGTTTGCATTGTATCGATGGGCATGGCCTCACGTAAGCTGCACCGAGTCCCCTTGGGGGAGATGGAACGGGGTATAAATAAAGTTTTATTATTATTATTTTTATTATTAAACAGGGGGGTTGACCACTCCCTGTAATTCGCTCTTAACCCTCTTAAAGGACATTCATTGGGTTGCTGTGAGTTTTCCGGGCTGTATGGCCATGTTCCAGAAGCATTCTCTTCTGACATTTTGCCCACATCTATGGCAGGCATAAATATGGGCGAAATGTTAGGAGATAATGTTTCTGGAACATGGCCGTCCGGTCCGGAAAACTCACAACCCATTAATTCCAGCTATGAAAGCCTTCAACAACACAATACCTGTCATATTTCAAAGTTTAAGGTGCTAATGTCAAAATGCTATTAGGCTCCCACTCTACTAACCAAAGGCATTTTCCAAAGCTAGCATTAGATATCATTGCATCTAAAGTTCTATCTATCGGAAAAAAAGAAAATAGCCAATTCTGTTCAATCGTTCCATTAGCGAAATGGCTCAAACGGAAAGCTATTAGGCATATTTTTCCTGATCCTTCTGAGAAGGGTGGCAAAAGGAAGAATCGGGAAAAATAACCCACTTGCACTTTCTTTCTTGCTCTGTTTGAATCTGTGCTTCGGCACCTATGAAGCTTCCTTAATAGGCTATAATTACAGTAATGCCACTGTTTAAGCCTTGCTGTACAAAGTAACAGAAGAGGGGTACAGGAGCCAATGATTGTCAATTTGCTCAGAGGGAAAGAATAATGCTATACCATTCCTGCTAAGAAAAATCTAGGAGGGAGGAAGAAAATAAGGTAATTAAGCTGAAAGTTCACTGTATTCACATTATTTCATACTTGACACACTAACCTGAGCAGTAGAGCAAGAAAGCAACCCACCAGAGTCCTTTTTTTTAACAAATGCAGTCAAGGTGCTTAATAATACTGAAATCTGTGGCGATTAAAACAGCAGTTGCTTCCCTTTGTCCTGGCGGAAAAAAATTCATTCTACACACATTTCCGCACAATTAAGACTAATATGATTTTGGGAACAGGTGGGGATTATACTATTCAGCTCCAAATAAGGTCTACGAATATGCCCCATCTACCTTCTTCTCCAGTAATTCTGACTAGCAGAGACCCTCTTTGGTCTTATAAAATCTTATACGAAGGTGTTCTTTTCTTTTGTGCACCACATCTGATCCCTCCTGCTATAACTACTTTTTGATTCCCCTAAATTCACCCACCAGTGTTTTTCCAACAGTCATTTTGTACCTGATTTGTACAAAAGGAGTAAAAACAATTTAATTTCCCCCAAATGCTTTGATTCCGCCCACAAATGCTCTCGGTCCCGCCTGCGTCACAAGTACGTTTGGCAGGGATGAGAGACAGGGCCTTCTCAGTGGTGGCCCCTCAGTTGTGGACATTTCGGAGGAAAGTGAAGACCTGGTTGTTCGAGCAGGCATTTGAACAGGCAGTGTAACGAACATAGTAATATGGAACAATTGGATGATGAGACTGGATTTCGATCTTAACGAACCCACACGATCTCTCCGATCATCTGGAGAGGCCCTGCTCGCGCACCCGCCTGCATCGCAAGCGTGACTGGTGGGGACGAGAGAGAGAGCCTTCTCTGTGGTGGCCCCTCAACTCTGCAACTCACTTCCCAGGGACATCAGGCCCCATCTCTCGCAGTCTTTAGGAGGAGCTTGAAAACGTGGTTATTCCAGTGTGCCTTCCCAGAATAATGAACCTTTAGCATTATGTCCTCTAAAGCACCTTATACTGATTTAGGATTGTTTGTATGTTCCCACCAACGCCCCACCTCCCTATCTTGTTCATGTCCAGCATTATTTTATATTTTAATTACATTCAGCCCAGCCATTGATTTTAAATGTGTGTTGTGCTATTGTCAATGTTTATGCTATTTGTGTTTGAGATTTATTTTAATTGTTTTGTATTGTTGTTGTTATTGCTTGTATTGATGTATTGTGGCCTTGGCCTTATGTAAGCCGCACCAAGTCCCTTGGGGAGATGGTAGTGGGGTACAAATAAAGTTTTATTATTATTATTATTATTATTATTATTATTATTATTAACTATGAGATGTGAATGAGATGTTTTATTGTTTTATATTAAGTATATGCTACTGTTTTAATTGTTTTTAACTGTTTTATGATGTTTTTGAGGATTGAATTTTGCTTTTGTTAACCGCTCTGAGTTGCCCAAGGGCTGAGAAGAGCGGTACACAAATATAGTAAATAAATACTAGTTTCTCTACTACATTCTCCTTCCAATGTTCAGCTATTACAGCGTTTCTCAACCTGGGGGTCGCGAGGAGGGTGTCAGAGGGGTCGCCAAAGACCATCAGAAAAATCAGTATTTTCTGTTGGTCATGGGGAGGGGAGGAGAAGAAGAAAAAGAAGAAAAGAGAAAGGAAAGGATGGGAGGCAAAGAGAGAGGGAGAAGGAGTATGAAGGAAAAGGAGAAGGAAAGAAAGAGAAAGAAGACATGAGAAATGAGAAAGGAAGGAAGAAGGAGGAGGAATGAGGGAAAGCAACTGAATGAAGGAAGGGAAAGGGGGAGGGCGAAGGAGTATGAAGGAAAGGGAGAAAGAAAGAAAAAGAAAGAAGACATGAGAAATGAAGGAAGTGGGGGAAGGAAGGAAGGAGGAATGAGGGAAAGCAACTGAAGGAAGGAAGGGAAAGAAGGAGGGAGAAGAAGTATGAAGGAAAGGGAGAAGGAAAGGAGGAGAAAGAAGACATGAGAAAAGAAGGAAGGAATGAGGGAAAGCAACTGAAGGAAGGAAGGGAAAGAGGGAGGGAGAAGAAGTATGAAGGGAAAGGGAGAAGGAAAGAAGGAGAAAGAAGACATGAGAAAAGAAGGAAGGAGGGAGGGAGGGAGGGAGGGAGGGAGGGAAGGAAGGAAGGAAGGAAGGAAGGAAGGAGGAATGAGGGAAAGCAACTGAAGGAAGGGAAAGAGAGAGGGAGAAGGAGTATGAAGGAAAGAGAGAAGGAAAGAAAGAGATAGAAGACATGAGAAAAGAAGGAAGGGAGGAATGAGGGAAAGCAACTGAAGAAAGGAAGGGAAAGAGAGAAGGAAAGAAAGAAAAAGAAGACAAGAGAAAGGAAAGGAAGAAGTGGGAGGTATGATGGAAAGCAACTGAAGGAAGGAAGGAAAAGTGAGAAGCATTATGAAGGAAAGGGAGAAGGAAAGAAAGAGAAAGAAGACATGAGAAAAGAAGAACAGCGTGAAGAATGAGAAAGGACGGAAAAAGAATGAAAGCAACTGAAAGAAGGAAGGACAAGAGAGAGGGAGAAGGAGTATGAAGGAAAGGGAAAAGGAAAGAAAAAGAAAGAAGACATGAGAAAAGATGGAAGAAGGGAAGGAAGGAAGGAAGGGAGAAGAGGGAGGAATGAGGGAAAGCAACTGAAGGAAACATGGGAAAAGAGAAAGGGAGAAGTATGAAGGAAAGGGAGAAGGAAAGAAAGAGAAAGAAGACATGAGAAAAGAAAGAAGGAAGGAAGGAAGGAAGGAAGAAGAGGGAAGAATGAGGGAATGCAACTGAAGGAAGGGAAAGAGAGGGAGAAGTAGTATGAAGGAAAGAGAGAAGGAAAGAAAGAGAAAGAAGACATGAGAAAAGAAGGAAGGAAGGAAGGAAGGAAGGAAGGAAGGAAGGAGAGGGAGGAATGAGGTAGGAAGGGAAAGAGAGAGGGAGAAGGAGTATGAAGGAAAGAAGGAAGGAAGGAGAGGGAAGAATGAGGGAAAGCAACTGAAGGAAGGAATGGAAAGAGGGAAGGAGAAGAAGTATGAAGGAAAGGGAGAAGACGGAGAAAGAAGACATAAGAAAAGAAGGAAGAAGGGAGGGAGGGATGGAAGGAAGGAGAGGGAGGAATGAGGGAAGGCAACTGAAGGAAAGAAGGGAAAGTAGACCTTAGAAAAGAAGGATGGATGGATGGATGGATGGAGGGGGGAGGGAGGGAGGGAAGGAAGAAGAGGGAAGAATGAGGGAAAGCAACTGAAGGAATGGATAGAGAGGGAGAAGTAGTATGAAGGAAAGAGAGAAGGAAAGAAAGAGAAAGAAGACATGAGAAAAAAGAGGGAGGGAGGGAGGAAGGGGAGGAATGAGGGAAAGCAACTGAAGGGAGGAATGGAAAAAGAGAGGGAAGTATGAAGGAAAGGTAGAAGAAAAGAAAAAGAAAGAAGACATGAGAAAAGAAGGAAGGAAAGAAGGAAGGGGAGGAATGAGGGAAAACAACTGAAGGAAGGGAAAGAGAGGGAGAAGAAGTATGGAGGAAAGAGAGAAGGAAAGAAAGAGAAAGAAGACATGAGAAAAGAAGGAAGGAAGGAGGGAGAGGGAGGAATGAGGGAAAGCAACTGAAGAAAGGGAACGAGAGAGGGAGAAGGAGTATGAAGGAAAGGGAGAAGGAAAGAAAGAGAAAGAAGACACGAGAAAAGAAGGAAGGAAGGAAGAAGAGGGAGGAATGAGGGAAAGTAACTGAAGGAAGAAAGGGAAAGAGAGAGGGAGAAGTAGTATGAAGGAAAGAGAGAAGGAAAGAATGAAAGAGAAAGAAGACATGAGAAAAGAAGGAGGGAGGGAGGAAAGAAGGAAGGAAGGAAGGAAGGAGAGGGAAGAATGAGGGAAAGCAACTGAAGGAAGGAATGGAAAGAGAGAGAGAAGTATGAAGGAAAGAGAGAAGGAAAGAAAAAGAAAGAAGACATGAGAAAAGAAGGAAGGAGGGAAGGATGAGAAAGGAAGGTAAAAGAGAGAGGAATTAAAACATCTGAAGGAAGGAAGGGAAAGAGAGAGGGAGAAGGAGTATGAAGGAAAGGGAGAAGGAAAGAAAGAGAAAGAAGACATGAGAAAAGAAGGAAGGAAGGAGAGGGAGGAATGAGGGAAAACAACGGAAGGAAGGGAAAGAGAGGGAGAAGAAGTATGGAGGAAAGAGAGAAAGAAAGAAAGAAAGAAAGAGAAAGAAGACATGAGAAAAGAAGGAGGGAGAGAAGGAAGGAAGGAAGGAAGGAAGGAAGGAAGGAAGGAAGGAAGGAAGGAAGGAGAGGGAAGAATGAGGGAAAGCAACTGAAGGAAGGAAGGGAAAGAGAGAAGGAGTATGAAGGAAAGGGAGAAGGAAAGAAAGAAAGAGAAAGAAGACATGAGAAAAGAAGGAGGGAAGGAAGGAAGGAGAGGGAAGAATGAGGGAAAGCAACTGAAGGAAGGAAGGGAAAGAGGGAGGGAGAAGGAGTATGAAGGAAAGGGAGAAGACGGAGAAAGAAGACATAAGAAAAGAAGGAAGGATGGAAGAAGAGGGAGGAATGAGGGAAAGCAACTGAAGGAAGGGAAAGCGGGAGCGAGGAGGAGTATGAAGGAAAGGGATAAGAAAAGAGAAGGCATGAGAAAAGAAGAAAGGAGGGAGGGAAGGAAGGAAAGAAGGAGGAAAGGAGAGGAATGAGGGAAAGCATCTGAAAGAAGGAATGGAAAGAGGGAGGGAGGAGTATGAAGGAAAGATAGAAGGAAAGAGAAAGAAGACATGAGAAAAGAAGGAAGGAAGGAAGGAGAGGGAGGAATGAGGGAAAGCAACTGAAGGAATGGAAAGAGAGAAGGAGAAGGAGAGAAAAAGAAGACATGAGAAAAGAGGGAAGGAAGAAGCGGGAATGAGGGAAAGCAACTGAAGGAAGGGAAAGAGAGGGGAAGAAGGAGTAGGAAGGAAAGAGAGAAAGAAAGGGCTTCAAAGAAAAAGCAAGCTCAGGCAATGCACCCTTTAGTGTATACACCAACAACATTCTTTCCACTCAGGACACCTTTCATTGAGGTGGAGTTGTCCTTCCTCCATTCCTGAAGGCCTCCTTTTCCCTCAGCCCCGCCTCAAGTAACAAAAGTGTTATTTGCCTTCCACAAACCTTACTTTGGAAACTTTAAGGCACTGACTCACCTGTGTTTCTCTCCTCTGGCTCCTCCATATCCTGCTCATGTTTATCATAAACTTTAGGGCCAAACAATGAGAAGAAAAAAGACCCAACAACTCTCCTCCTTCTCCCTCAACCAAGATTCCCCTTCCCCCCCCCCCCCCCCCACGAATGGAATGGACCCGCCCTCTGCTCCCGCTTCGCAAAGGCTCGGGCTGTACCACTTCTGACGGAAAAGAGGGGGGAACACAAGAGGAAAATTTCCACTCACAGCTTCACCACATTCTGGACCACCGCCGCCATCTTGCCCGCCTCAACTGCGCCTGCGCGAACCGCCCGCTCGGGCTCTCATGAGGGATGCTCGCGCACGGCACGGCGCATGCGCCGCGTGGCTGCGCATGACCCTTCGCGGTTCCCAGCTCATGCTGTGCAATCCCGAGAAGTGTAGTTGTCAGTGTGCGCATGCGTTGAATGATCTCATTTTTTTTCGACGGATGCCCTGAGCGACCAAAATAAAGATAAGACTGCGTTTCGCTATGAATGCGGTTGGCTGTGGAATCTTAAGAGGAGAGGTTGCAGTGCCAGGAGCCAAGATGGCGCCTGGAGAGTGACACTCGGGGTCTGCGCATGCGTGAGCCCCAGTTTGGCCAGGAAGAGGGTCAAAAGGTCTTATTTACTGCAGAGAAAGGTGGTGATTGTGATTCGGAGGAGAAAAGGTAAGGAGAGAGAGAGGCAGAAGGCTTGGTTTGGGGCTTGAGGCCTGCAAGAGGAGAGGTTTTGTGGGCAAAGGGGCCTGGAAGGAGCTGAGTGCCTCTGAGCATGTGCAGAGTGCCTTCCTTGAGCTTTCCAGATTGCAACCCCTTTCATCCCCAAAACACTCAAGGGATGATGGGAGATGTCTTTGGGAAACAAGGGGGTGCATCTGCACTTGGGAATTAATGCGGTCCAGTAGCACTTAGAACTGCCATAGTTCAAGGCTAATTTAATGTATTGTAATTACCTCTCAACAAAAGATTGCTCCAGGCACAGTCAGCCCATTGTATGCTAATCAAGGTGGTCAGTTGAAACATTCACACCTAGCTCCAGCAGAGAAGAGTCCTTTGTCCCACCCTGGTCATTCCACAGATACATAAACCCCTTTTCCTACCTAGTTCCAACAGACCTCACTACCTCTGAGGATGCTTGCCATAGATGCAGGCGAAACGTCAGGAGAGAATGCCTCTAGACCATGGCCATATAGCCCGAAAAAACCTACAACAACCCATTTTAATAATAATCTATTTTATTTATTTATTTATTTACTTTGCTTATATACCGCTGTATCTCAAGCCCGAAGGCGACTCACAGCGGTTCACAAACAGTAAAAACAGTAGAAACAGCAGTGGTTCCATACAACATATAACAATTGACTTAACACATTATCCATAAATTACCAATAAGCAATTACAATGCACAATTATTACAAAAAACAACCGTACCCAATCTTCTCATCATCCAAGCGTAGTCCAGGTTCGTCGTCCATTCGTAATCTATATAAATAAAAATGTAATGTTAGTTTAACTTAACTCAAAATCCGCTGGACGAATTGCCACCAAATATGGCCACAAGACACCTATTAACCCAAGGAGTGACCATCACTCAAAAAATTGATTTTGTCAATTGGGAGTTGTAGTTGCTGGGATTTATAGTTCACCTACAATCAAAGAGCATTCTGAACTCCACCAATGATGGAATTGAACCAAACTTGGCACACAGCACTCCCATGGCCAACAGAAAATACTGGAAGGGTTTGGTGGTTTTGAAGTTGTAGTTCACCTACATCCGGAGATCACTGTGGAGTCAAAGAATGATGGATCTGGACCAAACTTGGCACGAATATTCCATATGCCCAAATATGAACACAGATGGAGTTTAAGGGAAATAGACCTTGATATTTGGGATTTGTAGTTACTGGGATTTATAGTTTACCTACAATCAAAGAGCATTCTAAACCCCACAGATGACAGAATTGGGTCAAACTTCCCACACAGAACCCCCATGACCAGCAGAAAATACTCAAGTCCATCCAGTCCAACTCCCTTCACCAGGGCAAGAAAACATAATCAAAGCCCTCCTGACAAAGGGTCATCCAGCCATAGATATAGATAGATATGATTCACACAGAGAGAGATATAGTATCATAGATTTGAAAGGGAACCCTAAAGAAGGACAATGATATATTGCATGTCCCAGAGTAGGCAAACCAGACACTCTCCACATCAACACTGACAAAGAAACAACAAGAAATACTGTTTACCCACAAGCATCAAGAAATTACAGATATTAGAAACCAACATTACTTGATTTTCCAGATCACCAGACTGGGCCACAGCAACACCTAGCAGGGGACGGCTAGTAATAATAATAATATTTCTACCACCCACTTTTTGTTTGATATACAAGCTGTGCTGGTATGGCTGTACCAGGAGCTCCAACTTCCTTTTCTTTCTTTGATTATTTGCATGTATTCCAAAGTTCCATGCATTTTGCAATAAGGTGGTTTCCCTTGGTTAGCAGCCACCTGCCTATCATTGTTGGGTTTTTTAGTTCCGCCCCATTCCCCAGGGTTCAGGAAGGAAAGGGAGCCATTTTAGCTCAGTCTTACAGTTGAAAGCTTAGCTACAGGACGTGAATCAGCTTCACCTGTAGAGAAGCTTTGTTTCTTACGAAATTCCAGGGGGAAACAGTTCCAAAGGACTCCAGCTGGAGAATCTACAAAGCCTTGGCTGGTAGGTCTACTCGGGACCCAAGAAGCAGTTTGGAGCCGGGAGTAGAGCCCACACCAGCAAAGTTTAGAAAATAGATTGCCCAAGGAGGGCTTAAAAAAGGTTTTCCTCTTAAAGAAAAGAAACAGTTCACAAATGTCAGGTTTTACAATGTATTGTAATGTAATATAGCTGAGTCATGCACTGCTAATGGGCTTCTATTGGAAATGCTGAGTCATGCATTAACTGTATATAGGGAATCATTTGGGGAATGTGTTCTGGCCTAGTCCAGGTGATTGTGAATGATGTAATCCTGGGTCTGAGTTAAGTTAATGTGTTGGGAACCAATCAGAGATTGCCATGTATAATTGTATAGAACTGTATATAAGGAAGTCATGTACAGTGTATACTTCTCCTTGTGCTGTGATGTTGTTCATCGAAGGCTATATGTAATTAAAAGAACCTGTCTGCTAAGACAAGGTATAACTGTATGCTGTGGTAAGTTTGTAATATCATCTAGACTGGGGGAAAGACAATGGTAAAACTGACAATGGCCGGGCATGTGCTCAAGTGTCTGTAAAAGGTTCCAGAGTGACCGCAGGCTGTGGGAGCAGTTGACTGAAAATACTGTGCAGGAAGAAGCTACTGGAAAGCGCTGAAGTTGTGCAACTGATCTGCTGCTGAATTGTGAAGTTAATCTCAACAACAAAGCAAGTTGCCTGTCCCTTGTGGACAAGATTAAGAAAGCCACCAGTCGATTCAAAGCCTTGAAGTATTTGTTTGACCTTTTGACGATCTGAGAAGTATTTGATTGTTTTGTTGAAGACTTAAGCAATAATAAAGGACTTTGTTAAACTTTTCAAGCTTCTAAAGACTTTGCATAGGAAAATCCTTAGGGCCTCTCAGCTGAGGCACCCCGGCTTCCCGCTGGGCACAAAAAGCACGTCCTGTTCAAAAGCCAATTGCTATAGGCCCAGCGTGTGACAGCATACAAGCAGTGCTTCTTAGAAGTCAGAGTATAGTCTAGAGTAACTCCCAGGTATTTGGGTGTGCTGCAGTGCTCCAGAGAGATTCCTTCCCAGGTAATCCTCAGAGCTCGAGACCTTTGATTGTGGGAGTTGAGGTCCAAAAAACCTGGAGGGATGAAGTTTGCCCATGCCTGATGTAAATGAATTATATTTTACCTTCCTTTTGCAGCTTCCTGTTCCATCTTCAGAGCATCATCCAGAGCCTTAAGGCAACATGACCAGCAACCTGGACATCTTCGTGGGGAACACCACTCTCATCGATGAGGAGGTCTACCAGCTCTGGCTGGATGGCTATTCAGGTGAGACAGGAAGTCTTTTCTTGGTTTTGGGGCTCAACACGATCTCTCAATGTTGCCATATATTGCTTGGGAATTGCAGTCCAGCCCACCTTGAAGGTCAACAAGACTCATTGTGAAGCAAGATTTGCCTTAAAATACTCTTGGCTTTGGATTCCTGTATACACACACATACATACACCGTGTATACGTATATTTGTGTGTGTGTGATTTGATTGTATACTGTGTGTGTGTATATTTATATAAATAAAAATATAATGTTCGTTTGTGGGATTCACAGAACTCAAAAACCACTGGACGAATTGACACCAAATTTGGACACAAGACACCTAACAGCCCAACGTATGTCCTTCACTAAAAAAAAAATGGTTTTGTCATTTGGGAGTTGTCGTTGCTGGGATTTATAGTTCACCTACAATTAAAGAGCATTCTGAACTCCACCAATGATGGAATTGGGCCAAACTTAGCACACTGGGCTCCCATGACCAACAGAAAACACTGGAAGGGTTAAAATACATTCTTTCTTTTCGTCACTTGGGGTTTTTTTTTTAGAGGTACGTTTTGAATAAACAAAGCAGAGTAGCACTAGACATGTCTAAAAATGTTTCTTACCCCTAGTGAACGATGCTGTGGCGCTCCGCCTGCGCAGCGGGATCCTGGAGCAGACGGGGGCCACGGTGGACGTGCTCCAGAGCGACACCATGGACCACTACCGCACTTTCTACATGCTGGAGCGGCTCCTGCACTCGCCCCCCAAGCTGCTGAACCAGCTCCTCTTCCAAATCCCTCCCTATCGCCAGACCATGCTGATTGAGAGGTGGGGTGAAGTGGCCTCGGAAAGGGGCACTGAGTTGGGGGGAGTATTAACTTTCAATGTAATAATAATAATACTTTATTTATACCCCACCATCATCTCCCCAAGGGTGGTGGGGTGCATTATATTGCAACATAGACATTCAGTCTATCTGTCATCTATCAGCCAACCATCCTCTCATCCATCCATTCCTCATCCATCCAACTTTATGTTTATCAGCCATCCATCCACCCTCCATCAGTCTCTTAGCAGCCATCCAATCTCTCTCCTACGATCATCCATCTGTCTGTCGATCAGCCAGCCATCCTCCATCTATCCTTTCATCCATCTATCTATCATCCATACATCTATTACCCATCTATCAGCCATACATCCATCCTCTCATCCCTCCATCTTCCACCCTCTCATCCATCCATTCTCCATCCTTTCACCCATCTAGCATCCATTTATCAGCCATCTATCCATCTTCTATCCATCCTCTCATCCATCATCCACCCCTCTATAAGCCATCCATCCATCATCCATCTGTCTATCTATCAGCCATCCTTCCATCCATCATCCTTCAGTCTATCTATCATCCATCAGTCAATCAGCTATCCGTCCATCCTATCACTCACTCATCTATCAGCCATCATCAGTCTATCAGTCATCCATCCTCAATCCATCCATCTGTCTATTGGCCGTCCATCCTCATCCATCTATCACCCATCTGTCTATCTATCTATCAGACATCCTTCCTCCATCCATCATCTATCCTCCCATCCATCCATAATCCATCTGTCAATCAGCTATCCGCCCATCCTATCAATCACTCATCTTTCAGCCATCCTTCCTCCATCCATCATCTATCCTCTCATCTATCCATCCATCATCCATCTATCAGCCATCCATCCATCATCTATCCTCCCATCCATCCATCTGTCTATCAGCCATCCATCCATTCATCCTCTCATTCATCCATCCACCATCAATCAGTCATCCATCCTCAATCCATCCATCTATCAGTCAGCCACCCTCATCCATCCATCATCCATCTATCTAGCAGACATCCGTCCTCCATCCATCCATCATCCATCTGTCCATCAACCATCCATCCGCCATGTATCAGCCATCCATCCTTCTTCTGCCTATTTATCAGCCATCCATCCTCCCATCCATCTATTTATCAGCCATCCATCCTTCCATCCATCTATTTATCAGCCATCCATTCTCCATCCATCCTCTCATCCATCATCCATCTATCTATTAGCCATCCATACTCCATCCATCTTTCTGTCTATCTATCAGCCATCTATCACCCATCCATCCTCCATCTATCCTCTCATTCATTAGCCATCGATCTATCAGCCATCCATCCTCTCATCCATTTAGCATCCAACTGTCCGTCTATCAGTCATCTATCGTTTCATCCATCCATCCTCCATCCATCCTCTCATCCATCTATCTATCAGCCATCCTCCCATCTATCCATCCTCTCATCCAGCCAGCCATCCATTCATTTATATATCAGCCATCCTCCATCTCCTCTCATCCTCTCATCCATCTAGCATCCAACTGTCCATCTATCAGTCATCTATCGTTTCATCCATCCATCCTATCATCAATCCATCATCCATCTGTCAATCTATCAGCCATCCATCCCCCCCATCCATCCATCAGACATCTATCTATCTATTAGCCATCTTCCCATCCATCCTCTCATCCATCCATCCATCCATCCATCCATCCATCCATCCATCCATCCATCTATCAGCCATCCTCCATCTCTCCTCTCATTCATCACCCATCTATTAGTCATCTGTCTATCAGCCATCCATCCATCTTCTCGTCCATCTAGCATCCAACTTAGCATCCAACTTAGCATCCATCCATCCATCCTCCACCTATCCTCTCATCTGTCCATCATCCATCCGCCAGTCTATCAGCCATCCTCCATCCATTCGTATATATACTTGTAACCCAGAGCTCTCCAAACATTTCATGTTGGTGGCACACCTTTTAGGCACGCCCCATTTCACGTAGACCCCGTCCCTCTCTAACTGCTCCCCCTCTTTGTCTCGTGCCTTCCCTTCTCCTGGCTGCAGGTACTATGCCTTTGACGAGGCCTTCGTGCGGGAGGTTTTGGGCAAGAAGCTCTCCAAAGGCACCAAGAAAGACCTGGACGACATCAGCGTCAAGACCGGGGTGACCCTCAAGAGCTGCCGCCGGCAGGTACTCTCTCCCAGCGTCCCCAGAGTCACCTCTTTTGAGTGAATCAGAAGACTCTGCATCTTTGTTCTTGCAAAACATTGTCACGTCCCTGTCCTGCTTTGCTTCCAATGAGCTGAAGTCTGGCCTCTCCTCAGTTTAGCCTCACAACAACCCTAGGAGGAGGGACAGACTAGCTCAGTAACAGCTTCGATTCTGTTTTGTTCCAGTTTGACAATTTCAAGAGGGTCTTTAAGGCCGTCGAGGAGCTTCGGGGGTCACTAGTGGAAAACATCCAACAGCACTTCCTGCTCTCAGACCGACTGGCCAGGTGAGGGGTCAGTGCCTTTAAATCTTTTTCTCCCAAGACTCTTAACTAATTCGTTAACTGCATTTTTGCTGCCCTTCTAGGGATTACGCGGCCATCGTCTTCTTTGCCAACAGCCGCTTTGAGACGGGCAAAAAGAAGCTGCAGTACCTGACCTTTGAGGATTTTTCCTACTGCGCAGAGCAGATGATCCAGAACTGGACTTTGGGAGCCGTGGGTAAGATTATAATTATTATTGTTGTTGTTGTTTTATTTATTTATCCTGTCGGAAGCAAATTGGATACAGCTATAATGTATTTAAAAACACAAACAAAGTTAAAAACTTGGCATTATGCTAGATTTCTTTTGACCACTTGGAGTGCCTCTGGTGTTGCTGTGAAAGCTTGCAAGTTCAAAGCCCCAGGTTGGCGTGAGATGCCAACTGTCAGCCTAGAGCATTGTTTACCTAAGCAATTCAAGAACAGCTTTAGCTGTGATTAGGGAAATTAGGTACCGCTAAAAGTGGGGGAAGTGTTTTACGATGCCATAAAGAAGATCAGAAAATATTGAGCGACCAAAAGGAAGGAGGAAGTCCTGACAGCTCTTCGTCATAGAGGATAGAGCAACAGCACCCCTTGGAATCGAGCCCAACCTTCCGTGGCACCTCCTTCTGTTCTGTCTGTCTGTGGTTTGTATATACAAAGCGACATTGAATGTTTGCCGTGTATGTGTACTGTGATCGGCCCTGAGTCCCCTTCAGGGTGAGAAGGGTGGAATATAAATAAAGTGTTGTTATTATTATTATTATTATTATTATTAACACAACAAGATGAGTGCACAGCAGACACTCTACTGGCTGTTGTATTGGATCACACGTCAGACACTGTCCAAGTGTCTAGGACTGTGTGATGTATTTATTATTATTATTATTATTATTATTATTATTATTAGAAACACAACAAGATGAGTCCACAGCAGACACTCTGCTGGCCGTTATATTGGATCACATGTTGGACACTTCCCAAGTGTCTAGGACTGTGCGATGTATTGGTGAATAATGCATGGAGATCCCAGTAAGGAGGCCTTTTTGTAGCTGGCAGATGGTAATCTTGTTAGAGCTGATTGTGTTTAAGTACAGGCCAAGGTCTTTAGGCACTGCACCCTGTTGCCAATTATTTATTTATTTATTTATTTATTATTCAACCATTTCGCAGTGCCTTGCTTGAGCAGTGATGGCGCAATCGTCAGCATAGATAAAACTCTCTGTCCTTTCTGGCAGTGCTGATCATTTGTAAACGTTGAACATTGGTGGAACAAGCATGCTCCCCTGAGGCAGGCTTGTTCTGTTTTTGCTATCTGCTTATCTGGTCCTGTGTAATGAATTTCCTACCTATAAGGTCAGAGTAAGCTCAGAAAAGTAGGCCCAGGAAGTTCAGCAGCCATTTTAGAAGGGTGCCTGGGGGCACCCTTCCTGAAGGGGGCGTGTTTAGGAGCAGCTTGGAGGGAAATGAGGGGAGTCTGTGATTGGCTGGGAGAGAGTGGGCGGAGCTTAACTTGAAAAAAATTGACTTTAAGGGGACATTTTAAAATCAGACAGCTCAGATTGGGTCTGGGTGTCAGAGAAGACGGAAGATTGAGCCTGGGTGTCAAAGAAGAAAGATTTAGAGTTTGGAGAGCAGAAGAGAAAGGATAGGGAAGCCTGAAGTTGGTCAGTTAGCTAGCAGTGTTCCGTCTTCCAGGAACATAGTTTGCATTACCTTTTAGTTGCATGGGATAGTGTTCTTTTGCAGCATCTTGGAAGTATCAGAGTCTGCAAAGCCAGCCTGTAGGCCCTCTGCAGTTATTGGTTTAGAAAGTATCTCTTTGGATGTAGAGAACGTCCTTTTTCCAGGGGAGGAGATCTCCATTTTGGAATCCCCCTGCCTCCTTCAGTAAAGAAAGAAAGCTTCAGATGTGCTGTTGGTCAGGCAGGTAGCTCTGAAAAAAAATCATTGTAAGTACAATTGAGAATTGAGATACTATAGATAGAGAGGCAGATTGAGTTATATAGATAAAGAAGCTAATTGAGATAGATAGAATAGCAATTGAGATATGATTGAGTAATATTGGGTCTAATTGAGATAGATAGATAGCAAGTGAGCAATTGAGTTATAGATAGATATCGAGTTATTGAATATTATTGAGCATTACTTCATCTCCAAAGCTAACTTTGAGCTATAGATAGGCAAAAACCTGTTTTTTCTAACCATAGCAGCTCAGGGTTAGGGTGAAAGGATCCCAGGATATTTTCTACCATTTGGGGAAGAGTTACCTCAGTAACTGAAGGAAAAAGAAAGAAAGTTAATCTCTATGGTTTCACCAATTGACTGTTTTGTTTGTAACTTTGAAAAGCTGTGCCAAGTCGGCCAAGGACTTTGAAAATAAATATTGCTGAGAATTTTTGAGCTTTTAAAGAAAGACCCACGCGGTCCACCCAGACAAAGAGAGAAGCACATTTTAGTTTTATTTTATATTTATATTTATTTATTTATTATTCAAACTTATATGCCGCCACTCCCCAAGGGCTCGGAGCGGCTTACAAGAACAGACTAAAATCTAAAACAATTTAAAAAAAACAGCAATACCAAAAATCAAAAGCCTGTCGAAAAAAATATAGGATCTGGGTGTGACGGCACAAGCAGAGTTAGTTAGTGAGAAGATTTACAGCTATTGGGAAGGATTGCTAGGGAGTGGAGTGACAAATCCAGGGGAAAAAGGACTGTCTGTGTGGAGTTTGGGATTGCTGGGCAGAGAGGCATCCTGTCAGTAATTTCTGGAGGGAAAGAGGAGTGTTATGTGCAACTGAGTTTTGAACTGTTTAAAGAAACTACACGCTTTATTCAACATTAAAACAGCTAAGCTTAATGCCTGTTTTGTTCAAGTTCTCTCAAATAAACAACATTGTTATTTGTTCACAACATCTGCCTCACGTGTGCCTCTGTGTGTGAAGATTTAAAGCAATTTGCTGAAGAAATCGAAGTTTAATGGTGGCAGCATTTATTTAAAATAGGAATCTCTTCAGTGTTACCTCAGAGCACAAAGCCTGAGTGCTTGCTCTCTATCCTAGCAGTGGATTCAAATAAAATAGATGGGAAATCATAATTCCTGGCTACGTAAGGCAGTAGCAAAGGCCCACGGAATGCACCGGCACTCTCCAAAAAGATTTCTAACCATTCTGCCTTTTCTCGGCAGATACCAACGTGGACGATATGGATGTTGACCTTGATAAAGAGTTCCTTCAAGGCCTGAAAGAGTTGAAGATCCTGATTACCGACAAAGACTTGTTAGACCTGCACAAAAGGTACATCAGTAGCAGAGACTGGAGAGATTGGTGGAAATATCATGGGGAGACTTCTCTTCCCATCACTGCCATGTCTCCTAGGACCGTGATGGCGAACCTATGACACGCATGTCAGTACTGACACGCGTAGCCATTTCTACTGACACGCGCCCGCCGGATATTATTTGTTTATTTATTTTATGCCATTTTAAAAAATAAGTAGGAAAGAAATTATTATTTTGCAATGTTACCTAAATATTAAGGAGTTTCATATTTAAACTGAATGATAAATACTATGACTTTGCTATATTATTCAAATTTTAAAATGCATTAAATTAAATGTCAAATTTAAAAATATTTAATTATTATTAATATTTAGGTAACATTGCAAAATAATATTGGTTTATTTAATTATTAAGGAAACGAATATTATTTTGCATTTTTTCCTAAATATTAAGGAGTTACATATTTAAATTAAATTAAATGATAAATAAAACTTTGCTATATTACTCAAATATTTCAGAATGCCTTAAATCAGTGATGGGCAACCTTTTGAGCGTGGGGTGTCAAAATTCGCCAAAAAAACTGAGCATAATTCAGGTGGTGTGTCACTTCAAGAAAAAAACCATAATTTTGCAATATTTAGTTGAAATAACAAAAAATATATAATTGTAATTCCCACTTTCTCTCTTATCATGTTGTTCTACCTCTCTTTATGTAAATAATATCCTTTTTGGAGTGTTTAATAAAAATATAATTTTAAAAACCCAACAAAATATTATTTATTTTTAATTTAATTTAAATGTATTTCTAGCATTCAATGTGCTATTTAATGTATTTCTAATAATAATAATAATAATAATAATAATCCAATAACAATAAAGTAACATTGCAAAATAATATTTTGATATTTAATTTACCATTTCATTTAAGGCATATATATATATATATATATATATATATATATATATATATATATATATATATATAGGCGTATATTAAAAAAATATTTAAAATGCACTAAATTAAAATGCATTAAATTAAATGTCAAATTAAAATTCAATTTACCATTTCATTTAAGACCGTGATCAAAATATTATTTTGCAATGTTACTTTATTGTTATTGCATTATTGTTATTATTATTATTATTATTAGAAAAACATTAAATAGCATATTAAATGCTAGAAATACATTTAAATTAAATTAAAAATAAATAATATTTTGTTGGGTTTTTAAAATTATATTTTTATTAAACACTCCAAAAAGGATATTATTTACATAAAGAGAGGTAGAACAACATGATAAGAGAGAAAGTGGGAATTACAATTATATATTTTTTGTTATTTCAACTAAATATTGCAAAATTATGGTTTTTTTCTTGAAGTGACACACCACCTGAATTATGCTCAGTTTTTTTGGCGAATTTTGACACACCACGCTCAAAAGGTTGCCCATCACTGTCCTTGTTGTTCATTCGTTCAGTCGTCTCCGACTCTTCGTGACCTCATGGACCAGCCCACGCCAGAGCTCCCTGTCGGCCGTTACCACCCCCAGCTCCTTCAAGGTCAGTCCAGTCACTTCAAGGATGCCATCCATCCATCTTGCCCTTGGTCGGCCCCTCTTCCTTTTGCCTTCCACTTTCCCCAGCATAATTGTCTTCTCTAGGCTTTGCTGTCTCCTCATGATGTGGCCAAAGTACTTCAACTTTGTCTCTAGTATCCTTCCCTCCAGTGAGCAGTCGGGCTTTATTTCCTGGAGGATGGACTGGTTGGATCTTCTCACAGTCCAAGGCACTCTCAGAACTTTCCTCCAACACCACAGCTCAAAAGCATCGATCTTCCTTCGCTCAGTCTTCCCTAAGGTCTATCTCTCACATCCGTAGGTGACTACAGGGAATACCACGGCTTTGACTAGGCAATGGATCTTTGTTGCCAGTCTGATGTCTCTACTCTTGACTATTTTATCGAGACTGGACATTGCTCTCCTCCCAAGAAGGAAGCGTCTCCTGATTTCCTGGCCACAGTCTGCATCTGCAGTCATCTTTGCACCTAGAAATACAAAGTCTGTCACGGCCTCCACATTTTCTCCCTCTATTTCCCAGTTGTCAATCATTCTTGTTGCCATAATCTTGGTTTTTTTGAGGTTTAGCTGCAACCCGGCTTTTGCGCTTTCTTCTTTCACCTTGATTAGAAGGCTCCTCAGCTCCTCCTCGCTTTCGGCCATCAGAGTGGTGTCATCTGCATATCTGAGGTTGTTAATGTTTCTTCCAGCAATTTTGACCCCAGCTTTGCATTCATCCAGCCCCGCACATCGCATGATGTGTTCTGCATACAAGTTAAAAAGGTTGGGTGAGAGGATGCAGCCTTGCCGTACGCCTTTCCCAATCTTGAACCAGTCTGTTGTTCCGTGGTCAGTTCTGACTGTTGCTACTTGGTCCTTGTACAGATTCCTCAGGAGAGAGGGAAGGTGGCTTGGGATGCCCATCCCACTAAGAACTTGCCACAATTTATTATGATCCACACAGTCAAAGGCTTTAGAATAGTCAATGAAGCAGAAGTAGATGTTTTTCTGAAACTCCCTGCCTTTCTCCATTATCCAGCGGATATTGGCAATCTGGTCTCTCGTTCCTCTACCTTTTCTAAACCCAGCTTGAACATCTGGCAACTCTCGCTCCATGTATTGCTGGAGTCTTCCTTGCAGGATCTTGAGCATTACCTTACTGGCATGAGAAATAAGGGCCACTGTACAAAAGTTTGAGCACTCTAGCATTTCCCTTTTTTGGTATAGGGATATAAATTAGTTTTTTCCACTCTGATGGCCATTCTTGTTTTTTCCATATCTGCTGGTATATGGCATGCATAACCTTGACAACACCATCTTTAAGATTTTAAACAGTTCAGCTGGGATCCCGTCGTCTCCTGCTGCCTTGTTGTTAGCAATGCTTCTTAAGGCCCATTCAACCTCACTCCTCAGGATGTCTGGTTCTAATTCATTCACCACACTGTCAAAACTATCCTCTATATTGTTATCCTTCCTATACAGATCTTCTGTATAGTCTCGCCACCTTCTCTTGATCTCTTCAGCTTCTGTTAGGTCCCTGCCATCTTTGTTTCTTATCATGCCAATTTTTGCCTGAAATTTACCTCCAATGTTTCTAATTTTCTGGAAGAGGTCTCTTGTCCTTCCTATTCACTGTCCTAGGATAATGGAAATCTGATAATTTTGGGAACGCCATGGGTTCTCCACCCCTAGCTTTATGTCTTTTTGAAAAACATGGTTCTCAGCAGAGATGTCTCCTCTGATGTCTTATTATTTCTTTCTCGCCCAGCTTGGTGTGTACGTCGTTGCGGGGAAAGATCTCCGTTTTCAGTGAGATGGAAGCCAATTTTAAGGTGTGCCATCCAGTCCCGTCTTCCTTCCCTTCCCTCTCCTGCTACCTCTCTAGAGGCCATCAGAGGGTGCCCGTGTGCCTCTGGAGAACCTCTCCTGCATCTCACAATCCTCAATTCCGAGTGGGATGAAGGGATGGAGGTGGAAGACAGGGCGAGGGCCCCCTTCTCTGACCCTCCTTTTCCCACTGCTCCTTTTTCAGAACCTCTCTCGGTCTCTCATCAACATCGCTTCGAAGCTCACCCACAGCAAGGACGTTCGGGACTTCTTTGTGGACCTGGTGGAGAAGGTGAGCCGTCTCCCATCACCGGTGGAGCCATTTTGGACCTGGAGTGTTGTCCTCGCCTCCCCTCTCCTTGACTCGAGGGGTGTCTTGCCTCCACTTTGATGTCCGTGTCCCCACTGTCTTTTTTTGTCAGTTTGTGGAGCCCTTCCGGTCCGACAAGTGGAGTCCAAACGATGTTCGTCTCTTCCTGACACAATACACGGCTTGTGCCCACACCCTGGACGCATTCAGGTTGGTGAGGGGCTCCGGCCAGCCAACTGTTGTTTTTCCTTCCGATTCTCAGCGACTCCAACTCCCATAGTGAAGAGCACATTTCCTTCCTTCCTTCTTTTCTTCCTTTTCCTTCCTTCCTTCTTGGTGTATGCAGCTTGCATAGTGGAAACCAACCTTCCATTTTCCTTCTTACCTTCATTCACTAGCTCACTTACTCAGTCCTTCCTTCCTTCTACCCTTCCTTCCTTCTTTTCTTTTCTTTTCTTCACTTGCTTGCTTGCTCACTCACTCACTCACTCAACCAGTCCTTCCTTCCTTCTTTTCTTTACTCATTAACTTGCTCACTCACTCAGTCCTTCCTTCACTTGCCCACTCAGTCCTTTCTTCATTCATTCACTCGCTCACTCAATCCTTCCTTCTTTTCTTCACTTACTCGCTTACTCAATCAATCAATTCCTTCACTCACTCAATCAATCCTTCCTTCACTCGCTCACTTACTCAATCCTTCCTTTTTCGTTCACTCGCTTGCTTGCTCAATCCTTCTTTCCTTCCTTCGCTCGCTCAATAACTCAATTCTTCCTTCCTTCCTTCCTTCCTTCCTTCCTTCCTTCCTTCACTTACTCACTCACTTGCTCCCTCAGTCCTTCCTTCACTCAACTTGCTTGCTCACTCAATCCTTCCTTCTTTTCTTCACTTACTCACTCAATCAATCCTTCCTTCCTTCACTCGCTTGCTTGCTCAATCCTTCTTTCCTTCCTTCCTTGGCTCACTCAATAAACTCAATCCTTCCTTCACTTACTCACTCATTTGTTTGCTCACTCAATCATTCCTTCCTTCACTCACTTGCTTACTCAATCCCTCCTTCACTCGCTCACTTACTTAATCCTTCCTTTTTCGTTCACTCACTTGCTTGCTCAATCCTTCTTTCTTTCCTTCCTTCCTTCCTTTCTTCGCTCGCTCAATAACTCAATTTTTCCTTCCTTTACTTACTCACTCACTTGCTCCCTCAGTCCTTCCTTCCTTCACTCACTTGCTTACTCACTCAATCCTTCCTTCACTAGCCCACTTAGTCCTTTCTTTCTTCATTCATTCACTCGCTCACTCAATATTTCCTTCTTTTTTTCACTTACTCGCTTACTCAATCCTTCCTTCCTTCACTCACTCACTTGCTCACTCATTCAATCCTTCCTTCCTTCCTTCACTCGCTCACTTACTCAATCCTTCCTTTTTAGTTCACTCGCTTGCTTGCTCAATCCTTCTTTCTTTCTTTCCTTCCTTCCTTCGCTCGCTCAATAACTCAATTCTTCCTTCCTTCACTTACTCACTTGCTCCCTCAGTCCTTCCTTCCTTCTTTTCTTTACTCACTAACTTGCTCACTCACTCAGTCCTTCCTTCGCTCGCCCATTCAGTCCTTTCTTTCTTCATTCATTCACTCGCTCACTCAATCCTTCCTTACTTCTTTTCTTCACTTACTCGCTTACTCAATCCTTCACTCACTCACTTGCTCACTCAATCAATCCTTCCTTCCTTCACTCGCTCACTTACTCAATTCTTTCCTTTTTCATTCACTCACTCACTTGCTCAATCCTTCTTTCCTTCCTTCTTTCGCTCGCTCAATAACTCAATTCTTCCTTCCTTCACTTACTCACTCACTTGCTCCCTCAGTCCTTCCTTCACTCAGCTTGCTTGCCCACTCAATCTTTCCTTCTTTTCTTCACTTACTCACTCAATCCTTCCTTCTTCCCCTCACTCACTTACTCACTCAGTCCTTCCTTCACTCACTCACTTACTCAATCCTTACTTTTTCCTTCACTCACTTGTTTGCTCAATCCTTCTTTCCTTCATTCCTTGGCTCACTCCTTCCTTCACTTACTCGCTTGATCACTCAGTCCTTCCTTCTTTTCTTCACTTGCTCGCTCACTCAATCCTTTCTTCCCTCACTCATTCACTTACTCAATCAACCCTTCCTTCTTTCACTCACTTAATCAATCCTTCCTTCCTTTTTCCTTCACTCGCACACTTGCTCAATCCTTCCTTCCCTCACTTACTAACTCACTCACTTGTTCCCTCAGTCTTTCCCTCACTTGCTTGCTCACTCAATCATTCCTTCCTTCTTTTCTTCACTTGCTCGCTCACTCAATCAATCCTTCCTTCTTTTCTTCACTTGCTCGCTCACTCAATCAATCCTTCCTTCCTTCACTCACTCACTTAATCAATCCTTCCTTCCTTCACTCGCTCACTTACTCAATCCTTCCTTTTTCCTTCACTCGCACACTTGCTCAATCCTTTCTTTCTTTGCTTTCTCGCTAATTCAATCCTTCCTTCACTTATTCACTCACTTGCTCCTTCAGTTCTTCCTTCAATCACTCGCTTGCTCAATCATTCCTTCTTTCTTTCCTTCACACACTCACATGCTCCCTCAGTCCTTCCTTCACTTACTTCTTGCTCACTCAATCCTTCCTTCTTTTCTTCATTTGCTCATTCATTCAATCAATCCTTCCTTCACTCACTCACTCACTCAATCACTCAATCAGTCCTTCCTTCACTCGCTCACTTACTCAATCCTTCCTTCCTTTTTCCTTCACTCACTCACTTGCTCCCTCAGTCCTTCCCTCACTTGCTTGCTCACTCAATCCTTCCTTCCTTCTTTTCTTCACTCACTCACTTACTCAATCAATCCTTCCTTCCTTCACTTGCTCACTTACTCAATCCTTCCTTCCTTTTTCCTTCACTCGCACACTTGCTCAATCCTTTCTTCCTTCGCTTGCTCACTAACTAACTCAATCTTTCCTTCCTTCACTTACTCACTCACTTGCTCCTTCAGTCTTTCCTTCAATCACTGGCTTGCTCAATCATTCCTTCCTTCTTTCCTTCACTCACTCACTTACTCCCTCAGCCCTTCCTTCCTTCCTTCACTTACTTGCTTGCTCACTCAATCCTTCCTTCTTTTTTTCATTTGTTTGCTCACTCAATCAATCCTTCCTTCCTTCACTTGCTCACTTACTCAATCCTTCCTTCCTTTTTCCTTCACTTGCACACTTGCTCAATCCTTCCTTCCTTCACTTACTCACTCACTTGCTCCCTCAGTCCTTCCTTCCTTCACTTACTCACTTGCTTGCTCACTCAATCCTTCCTTCTTTTCTTCACTTGCTTGCTCACTCAATCCTTCCTTCCTTCTTTTCTTCACTTGCTCGCTCACTCAATCCTTACTTCCTTCACTCATTAACTCACTCAATCAATCCTTCCTTCTTTCACTCATTTACTTACTCAATCCTTCCTTCCGTTTTCCTTCGCTTGCACACTTGTTCAATCCTTCTGTCCCTCACTTTCTCACTCACTTGCTCACTCAGTCTTTCCTTCACTCACTCATTCGCTTGCTCACTCAATCATTCCTTCCTTCTTTCCTTCACTCACTCAGTTGCTCCCTCAGTCCTTCCTTCCTTCACTTACTTGCTTGCTTGCTCAATCATTCCTTCCTTCTTTACTTCACTCACTCACTCAGTCAGTCCTTCCTTCACTTGCTTGCTCACTCAATCATTCCGTCTTTCCTTCCTTCACTCACTCAATCTTTCCTTCTTCCTTTTCCTTTCACTCACTCACTCCTTCCTTCCGCCCGTCTGTCTTGGTGTTCCAGTTCCCATAGTGAGAACCAATCAATCTATTTTACTTTTTCCCTCCCTCTTTCTCTCCTTCCTTCCTTCCTTCCTTCCTTCCTTCCTTCCTTCTTCCTTCCTCTCCTTTCTTCCATAGTGAGAAGTCTTCCTCCCTCTCTCCTTCTTTCCCTTTCTTCCTTCCATTCCTCTTGGTGGCTCCATCTCCCATAGTTAGCACCTTCCTTACTTTCCTTCCTTCCCTTCCTTGCCCTCTTTCCTTCCTTCCCTTCCATTCGTTCCCTCCTTCTTCCTATACGTTTTTGCTCTGACACGTGGTTCTCCGTGGTTCTCTCCTTGCAGGCACCAAGCCCTTTGGGAGCGGTACATGGGGACCCTCAAAGCCTGCCTTTTGAAGATGTACCACGACTGAGCCCCGTCTTCCAGAACTATTTATTTATTTTCGTTTCGGAATCAAAATGGCTCTCCTTCCTTCAGGGCGAGACCAGTGCGAGGCACAAGAGAAGTCCGAGCTTCACCTGCAACAGGAGAACGGCGTCATTCATTCTCATTGGCTGCCACCCATGTGCCAAAAAGTTACCATTTGGGGACAGCTCCCAGAATCCTGGCTGGAGGCGATGGAATTCTGGGACTTATAGTGTGTATAAGAAACCACTTCCAAAGCTCTCGCTGCCCTCCTGGCCTCAGGTCTCACTTCCCAGCTTCCCTCATTTCCTGTCTTCAGAGGGTTGTTTGGGAGAGATAGAAGAGCATTTGTCTGGCCTCCCTCGCAGGGATGTTGTGAGGATAAAGGTGGGAAGGAAAGGAGCATGTGTGCTACCTTAAGCTCATTGATACAATGGCTGGCTGGATAGAAAGGTAAATAAACAAAGCCAGAGCTTGAACCAACTCATTTTGTGGCTTCATTCAGTCAGTTGACTTTATTATTATTATTATTATTAATAATAATAATAATAATAATAATAATAATAATGCCATTACTAACATTATTTGCAATATTTTCCATTTTTTTCTCTAGGTTCTTCAAAATAATAGTAATAATAATAATTTTTATCGTGTCATCAGCAACCAGACCATTGTATTGCATTTCTAACAGAACAAAACAAACACACACATAAAAAAACACAAATTTTGCAAACTTAGTGAGCTCCCGTTGTTAGCCCCAGCTTCTGCCAAACTAGCAGTTTGAAAGCATGCAAATGTAAGAAGATCAATAGGTACCGCTAGAGCAGGAAGGTAACGACACTCCATGCAACACTGGCTCTTTGGCTTTGAAACGGAGATGAGCCCCAACCCTCGGAGTCAGACATTTATTTGTCGTGTCAGGACAACCAGTCAAATTGTATTACATTTCTAACAGAACAAAGCAAACAAACAGACAAAATACAAAATTTGTGAGTTTGGTAGTTGATTAAATGTCCTTTGACCAGTATCTGGCCACTTGGAGTGCCTCTGGTGTTGCCACAAGAAGGCCCTCCATCGTGCATGTGACAGGGCTCAGGTTGCATTGCAGCAGGTGGTCAGTGGTTTGCTCTTCTCCACACTCGCATGTTGTGGATTCCACTTTGTAGCCTCATTTCTGAAGGTTGGCTCTGCATCTCGTGGTGCCAGAGCGCAGTCTGTTCAGTGCCCTCGAAGTCGCCCAGTCTTCTGTGTGCTCATCTGGTATCACCCACGGATTGAGGTTCTGGGTTTGAGCTTGCCACTTTTGGACCCTCGCTTGCTGAGGTGTTCCAGTGAGTGTCTCTGTAGATCTAAGAAAACTATTTCTAGATTTAAGTCGTTGACGTGCTGGCTGATAGCCAAATGGGATGAGCTGGAGATGTCTCTGCTTTGGTCCTTTCACTATTGGCTGCTACTTCCTGGCGGATTATCAGGTGGTGCAATACCGGCTAAGCAGTGTAATTTCTCCAGTGGTGTAGGGCGCAGGCACCCCGTGATAATGCGGCATGTCTCATTAAGAGCCACATCCACTGTTTTAGCGTGGTGAGATGTGTTCCACACTGGTCATGCATACTCAGCAGTAGAGAAGCATAGCGCAAGGGCGGATGTCTTCACTGTGTCTGGTTGTGATCCCCAGGTTGTGCCAGTCAGCTTTCGTATGATACTGTTTCTAGCACCCACTTTTTGCTTGATGTTCAGGCAGTGCTTCTTGTAGGTCAGAGCACGGTCCAGAGTGACTCCCAGGTATTTGGGTGTGCTGCAATGCTCCAGTGGGATTCCTTCCCAGGTCATCCTCAGAGCTCGGGATGCTTGTCTGTTCTTCTTCTTCTTCTTCTTCTTCTTCTTATTATTATTATTATTATTATTTACTTTATTTCTATACCGCATTTTTCAGCCTAATTCGGCAGTTTCTTGAGATGAAAAGCACATGTCTGTGTTTTAGATGGGTTGAGGATCAGCTGGTTTCCCCTGTAATAGGCAGTAAGAGCACCTAGAGCTTTGGAGAGCTTCTGTTCAACCATCTCAAAGCTCCCTGCTTGAGCAGTGATGGCACGATCATCAGCATAGTAACTGATGGCAGTGGCTGGTCATTTGTGTCGATGTTGAACATGGATGGAGCAAGCACGCTCCCCTGAGGCAGACCGTTCTTCTGTTTCCGCCATCTGCTTCTCTGGCCCTGGAACTCAACAAAAAAGCTCCTGTTTTGTAGCAGGTTTCCTATGAGGCGGGTGAGGTGGTCGTCCTTTGAGATGATGTTGTTCATTCATTCAGTCATCTCCAACTCTTTGTGACCTCATGGACCAGCCCACTCCAGACCTCCCTGTCGGCCGTCACCACCCCCAGCTCCTTCAAGGTCAGTCCAGTCACTTCAAGGATGCCATC